ATGTCTTTGGTAGGTAGCCGCTTCACATCCGATATGGTTCAAATTTAAGAGAAAATTCTGGAGTTCTAGTAAAATGCCGTGATTAGTAGAGCCAACCAGTGTCGGTTGTGAGGCAGCTACTCGTAGAAGACAATAGAGGATGGTTGCACAATGTAATGGATTGGTTGAAGTCAGGCATTAAAATCATTTGATGCCGGATCAATGGTCTGGAGGTCAAGCGTTCACGTGCGATTACCCAAGCGGGACCGTAGATGAGCACTGCTAGGGAGTCTCATACTAGGGCAGAAAAGCCGACCAGTGCTTCCAAGTTTTTAATGATGGTTTAACTTAGATCGGCGCATGATATTAATGAAATACGTACATATGTCCATAATGTTGAGGAAAGGGAAGGGTAGTACGTTTGAAGAGCGAACTGACTGATGCGAATACAAATTCTTATTTATTGATCCACTTACTATATGTGTTATATATACAACTACAGACTTCCAATACTGATTGATATACGAAAAGGTTGAGAAAAAGTAAAAGATGCTAATCAAAATGTGGTGTTAACTCACTAATTCGATAAATGTTGATCTAAACTCAAATCAGTAGGTAGAAACATCGTCGATTGACTAGATGTATTTAGTAAAATGTTGAAAAAGTGTTCGCAACTAAATTTATCCACAATATTTCCGTATAAATTTTTAGTATCTTTCCCAACTTTTCAAACTTTGATTTCATTTGGGTTTTCTTATGCTTTCTTTTTAATTCGTTATAATATTATTCCCCTTCTTGTGATTCTCATTCTTTTAATTTTCCTTATCGACATGCTAATTTAAGATAGTTTTATTTATTTATTTATTTTAACACATAGATATTGGTACAAGGAGGCACCAAATACATATGCGTCACACAAATCTCGATCGGTATGTGTGAGGGCTGTGATACTGCCCGAGTGTCGAAAATCAAGCAGGTGGTCCTCTTAGGGGGCCACACTCAGAGCCTTCGACCTGAAGGCCTGATCCACAAGGCAGTGGAGCAAAAAAAGGAGATGCAGTCCCATGGTAGCCGGTGACCAATAATTGGTTTATACGCCATTTGTTCCCTCAGGATACTGGAGCCCATGTGCACCACTGGTTTGGAATCAGGGTTTTCCAACTCCCGCAGGTGGCTCTCCATGTCCACCAACCCGGTTACAACTCCGGACATTCGCTTTTCATCCTCTCAATTTCACAAACAACACATTGGACGCGAGAAGGCAGTGAGTAGGACTTCCCTGGCGGAGGCTATATACGCATGGCCATGTAAGAGCATTTCGAGAGGGGGAGCGGACTCTCTCCACTCTCGGCCGTACCAAGGCATTTGAGGGCAATTTAAGATGTAAGAACTTGATTTTTAGCGAAATATATGCATTTATCATTGGACCAATTTCTGACTGACTTACTGTATCAGACAATTGCATATCGAAAGATATTTGCTGAATAAATATTACTGGTCCAAAGAAGGAATATATGTATATTGACACAGTTGTTTAAAAAAACAAAATATTGAAAGTACGCTTAACTATGTGCTAACTGTCATGAGGAAAAGTTAATCTCTTTAAATGTATTTACACTTAAAGACAAACTCTTCAATTACTGAGTATGTAATGATTTTGAAAAAGAATTCAGTAAGATTGAATATTATAGACTAAGTATTTATAGGATAAGAAATGTAGCGCCACACGACACAAGTTTGAGTGGTAAAAAATTAATATAAAGATGAGTTAATCAAAAATTGAAGAAACATGTTTTGAGTTTTTGCGTAAAATTCAATGACGGGTAAACCTCATCTGATATTACCTAAATGTTTTAACAAAGAGAATCAAAACATAATACATATCTGAATATTCAGTCTATTACCAAGGTGACCTGCTTGAATATCTAAGCTACCTGTTCCTGCCATCTGGATATTTTAACAAGTTATCTATTTTCTTATTTGTTCTAACACAATATCATGCTTATTAGTCTCATAACCCATTTCGATGCGTTAATGAAAAGTTTCTGACATTTCGCTGTACATGTTACAGAAGAGCCCAATCAGAGACATCGTCGTTACTTGGCAATATACATTAGTCAGATATCTATGGTTGAACTGTTAACATCTAACTGGCGACCACTTGATGCTGAGAATTCCATATTGTACTAAATATATATAACACTGAATAAAGCCACTAATAATAATAATAAAAGAGAATTTTTATTCTACACCCTGATAGTTAGTGAATAACTATTCAATTTCTTTTTTTCTCTACAAGCAACATAATTAAAACTTATAATAAATAAAGCAATTTAATTTACATATCAAAGTTAATATGAAGCTTATTTAACCATAAATATGAATAGATTAACGTAATGATCAGTAATAAGGTCGTCGTCGTGATGATTATTGATTTCTTTTTTTTATTATTGAAATCATAAACCGATCAATATTAGACAATCATTGAAAACTTGAAACTGTACAAGACGATCATTTCATTATTATGCTAATTTAACATTGATCAGTTCATGATCTTAGACATTATTAGATTAGTTTATTATTTATTATTATAAGCTTTATTCAATATTATATTTTTGGTACAGCATAGAATTATCAGCACAAAATATTTCAACAAGTTTCCATTTCTTTCTTCTTGGTCTGTCCTGGCGATAAATATTGACTGATCGCCAGTTAGATGTTAACAAGGGCGGCCTGCTTGAGCATTTGGGCTACCTGTTCCTGCCATCTAGATATTTCAACAAGTTATCTATTTTTGTTTGTTTTAATATATCATTATGTTTATTAATCGCATAACCTATTCTGCTGCGTTTCTGAAAAGTGTACAACCTTTCGTTGTCAAAGTTACAAAAAACTCAATAAGAGACAATGTGGTTGCTGGCAATATACAACGAAAAGAATGTACATCATTCAGATGCTCATTTACTGAACTGATAACATCTAACTGGCGATCACTCAATATTTATCGCCAGGACCGACCAAGAAGAAAGAAACGGAAACTTGTTGAAATACATTACGCTGAGAATTCTATATTGTACCGAAAATATAATATTGAATAAAGCTGATAATAATAATAATAATAACAGTCCAGTCAATGAACATCTGAATAATGTACATTCTTTTCGTTGTATATTACCAGCAACCACATTATCTCTTATTGAGCTTTTTGTAACTTTGACAACGAAAGGTTGTACACTTTTCAGAAATGCATCAGGATAGCTTATGCGAAGAATAGACATAATGACATATATTAAAACAAACAAAAATAGATAACTTGTTGAAGTACCTAGATGGCAGGAACAGGTAGCCTAGATGCTCCTGCTCAAGCATAGTCAAATTATTTTAGGACTGACTTTATGAAGTAGAAAGAAAACATTATTATTAAAACAATGAACAAAACAAATATAGAAATTAATACTTGTAATTAAAATGTACCATTCATGTATTATTCAAGTATTGTAACCAAGGTTAATACCTAAGTGTAATTGCATGCAACACATTGTACACATAGTACAACGAAATACAAATTAATGTCAACAATAAAAAAGGGTGTAAACAATGAATCAACTAATAATAAGAAATTAATATTGTTTAAAATACAATCATTTTAACTCTATGATACATGTCAATACATACAATACATTGTTTAAAGGTGTATATAAATGAAAGAAAATGTATTTTACAATATTGAATGTGAAATATTTTTGTTTACCATGATCCAAAGATTTGACCACTTCACTTTTATGTATATAAAGTTGTATATTACAAAACTGTTTTCTATTATACTCCATACTGAGTGGCACAACCATTATTCACATGAAGTTCTTCTTCTCATTATATTCATAGTTATTCTGAACTAATTTTGACTATGATATAATTAGCATGAGGGATTGGTGAAGAGTTTAGTATTTTTTTACAGATAAAATCATCATCTCGTCTTAGCTAGGAAACCACTGAAGATCTGCGAGCACAGGACGACAGTGTCGTCCTAGTATAGAATTCGAGATCTCTAATTTCCTATGAGTCTCATTCCAAGATGAAACGACGGTCTAGTGCTACCAGATTTTAACTGCAAAAATATAACATATTATGTTCAAAGGAATTCGGTATTATTTTTACTACAGTGATTGTATAGCTTTGAAAATAAACTGAATAGCTTGATTTATTTCCAATATCTCAAATAATCAGTTAAACTTTTATAATCAAATCTATCACCAATAGCCCACACATGCACTGGTACGGTCGAGGGTGGGGAGAGACATCTCTCCCTCTCCAAATGCTCTCACATAGTCATACGTATACAGCCACTGCCACGGAAGTCATACTCACTACCTTCTCGTGATAGGGATGTTATTTACTAAATTAAGAGGATGAAAAGTGAATACCTGACACTTTAACCGGGCTGGTGGATAAAGCAGAGTTGGAAAGTTACAATTCCAAACTAATGGTGCATATCGGTTCCAGGACCCTGAGGGAACAAAAGGAGTATGAACCTATTGTTGGTCACCGACTACCACAGGACTGCATCTCCTGACGATGTTCTACTGCGTTGTGGATTAGATCTCTAGGTCAAGGGTTCAAAATGTGGTCCCCTAAGGAAAGTAATTGTTTCAATTTGGGCATCCGGAGAGCATTCCAGCCCTCACTTAAATCGAATGACGAAGTGTGCCGCATATGTATTTGGTGCCTCCACGTACCAATGTTTATATGTTTAACTGAATAAATCGACAATGTTAAGAGTATTCGGACGTAATATATGTTTAACTGGAAAGATCTTATACATTCTTTTAAATAGTTCAGTGAATAAATTGTGTACATATAGACAATGTACATTGTGACATGTAAGGATAATTTGTGATTATGTAATTGTGAGAACAGTAGATAAAACCAAAAATTGATTGACAGAGTATTTTATTCATGATTTAGTACAGAATGTTTAACTCATATGTTTACTTAAATAGTATTGTTTTCTTTTTCTTTTTCAATTAGGTTTCTTTCCATTTCTTTCAGAAAACATAGTTCATTCGATTGTAAACTAATCACGTCTAAATGGTGTCATTTATAAATTTGTTGTATTATTTAAAGGTCATGGAAAGGTTTTGGAAGATATTGATGTATAATCAATAGAACAAGATCATACATGTGAATATAATGTGTAACAAATATGTTGTGAGATAATGATAATAATAAAACAGTACTGCCAAAATAATCATAAAATAGTGTGAGCATATAATAAAACAAACTCTTTGGAGATAAACATGATATCCGTTAAAAATGATCCATGAGGAATTAAGAGTATGAGTGTGTGTGGCAAGATAGAAATGTGGAAAAAGCAGATTAGGAGGTAAAAGTTCATCATAAATAACATATGTATGGAGTGAATCGATCATCGATTAAAGTAACACAATTAAGCTAAACACTTCACTTCTACCTGAAGTTTGTGTATTTATTATTTATTTATTTATTTGAACACATACATATTGGTACAAGAGTGCGCCAAACATATATATGCCACACAAAACAATGAGAATTTAAAGAGAAGGAAAAAGAAAAAAAAGTACGGAGATTAAAAAGAAAAAAACAATAAGGAAGAGATTGGTGTAAGGTAGTGTAATAATAATAGTAATAGTAGGGGAACAGAAGGGTACAATCAGAAGAAATCTTTCACTTAAGGAAGATACAACCACTTTTTATGAAGAAAGTAAAAGAGGGTTACAGCACGATCGCCACTGGCTTCTATTCTCAGCCATATCTGATAACGTCTCTAGCCACTGTGTTGCACCATCTCTCGGACATCAGCCAGGGAGTCGTGAAGAACCAACACAAGCCAGTCCTTTACAGCTTTCTTTCGTACTCGGAGAGGCCGAGTTTCACAAGCATAGAACAGAACTGCTCTCACCGACGCGTTGGAGATCCGACCATTTACAGCTTGGTTTGCATAAGCCGCTCTGGCTTTCACTATACGTGCATTGATCTCATCACTCACGCCACCACCAGCACTTATGCAGCTACCTAGATTGGACCTTAAGGTTGAAAGCTCGGGAAGTGACCCTCTTGGGAAATCAACTACTTCGATTTGGTCACTCGAAAAGTATCCTACCCCATAGACTAATTCAATGGTTCTTGCTCCTTTGTACTAATGTTTGTGTTTAAATAAACGTGCAAATGGTAAATACTGCATATAACAGTTCTTAATTTGATGATATACTTCATGGCCAATACATATAAATGTATATATATACAGCGAGAAAAAAGATCCAGAAACGATAGAAACTTACCTATATCGTAGATTATTCGACTGTGTACGTAATTCATCAATAGTTTTCATCGTACTTTGTATTTCGTTTTTCACATTATCAATCCGTTCATTATACGAATCCAGTGATGAACAGATCACGTCCTATTTATTGTAAATATAAAAAAAATACTAAGATAAATACATGAACAATAAATAAATCAGAGAATGTGCATAGAATGTACGTTTAAGATGAAATAGTTGAATTAATAGGATGTCCATGTAATAATAAGTCAGTCAAATGTATCGCAAAATGCTATTATTATTAATGTCTTTATTCAATATTATATTTTCGGTACAATATAAAAATCTCAGCCCCCAAATGCCCTATTACAAACGAGGGTGGGGAGAGACAGCTCTCCCTCCCGAAATTCTCTCAAACGGCCACACGTCTACAGCGACTACCATAGAAGTCTTACTCACTGCCTTCTCGTTGCAGGAGTGTTATTTACAAAATTGAGAGGACGAAAAGCGAATGTCTGACGCTTTAACCAGTATGGTCAACATGAGTTCCAGGAAACTGAGGGAGCAAATAACATATCAATCTATTGTTGGTCACCGACTGCCACGAGACTGTATCTCATAATTTTACTCTACTGTCATGTGAATTGAACCTCTAGGTGAAATGACCATTTATGAAAAACACTTGCTTCGGTTCGTGAGAACGGGCAGTATTCCATCCCTCACATAAATCGAATGATACAGTGTGGCTCATGAATATTTGGTGTCTCTTCGTACCAATGATTTTGTGGTGAAACAAATAAATAAAGTATTTGAAATTTATTTTACGAAACAAAGAAGAAAGGAAAACCGATAACTCCATACAAATAAACATTCATAAGGCAAACACAATAACTGGAAGTAAATGAAATGTCTTTTTATAAAAGAAGATTTGGATCTGTACAACTGTTTAAGTAGTAGCATGTTTAAGAATACAAGCTATTGGCTAAGTTAGCTCCAACAACCTGTTCGTCAAGACTATATTTGCTAAATAAGGTATTGTAAAGCTTTTGTACTTTTCATTGTGTGCATGGATTCTAATGTATTGACGTCTTGTTCTGATAGAAGATATACAAGGAGAAAGATGTGAATGAAGTGTATAGTTAGTATCTGATAAGATGACACGCACCAACAGTTTGCAACACTTTAAATGTCTATCCACAACTATATTTATAATGACCTTACAAGATTCACCACACTCTCTGCAATACATCACAGTCCCTCCACAAAAACCCGGGACAGAATGATGGAGAAAATAAAGGATAATACGTAATATGCAAAAATTAAAAAATCGTAAAATTAAATGTCGAGTAACACCAAATGCAAGCATATATGTGGTTCTGTCTAAGTCTCCGAACAACATAAACATAATGAGAAGGGAATCGTCGAGTCGAATTTCAGAGTAGTAGACATAATAGCAGCATAAGTAGAGAGAGAATTATGTGTGAGAAGTAAAACAGTTGTAAGCCAGCATAATGAATTCATAGTTATACTGGATTTTTTCGATAAACTATTAAATATTTTATGCTAAGCACTAAAAAACAGTCATTAGCTTTGTAGTCATCTTCATTATATATTTGAGTAGTAAACTTCAATGGTCGTTGCAATATAAACTTATGACTTGTAACCATTCAGTGAAAAAAAATTAATGAGTTGGACCTAGTGCTATTCAGTACTCAAAATATATTTATCACTTCACCTATTGGGAAGTGTTATATGACTTTTATTGATTTAATTAAGTTTAATTGAATACGCTTGCATAACTCAGTAACATTGAATTGTTTATTACGCTGCTTAGTGAGAAGTAATTTTTTTATCTACCTATGTATAGCTGTTAGTGCTGGACTTTTCTCTATAGTTCCTGGTTATTCTATAGATCTGGTGACTGACTTTTTGTGGTATTGTGCAACATCGTGATTTCTTGTGTAAATAGCTTTATAATTGTGAACTTTACATGCGTATCACATTTGTTTACGGATTACTTTCTACACCTATTCAGCTCACATAAGTAAACTTTTGTATCCTAAATTTAAAAATTGTGGAAAACAATTGTCGTTAGTATTAAAACTATAAAGTTAATCTTAGATTCTTTTTTGTGATAGTGAAGTGATAGGCTTAACAGTTAAAACACGACTTTCAACAAGTAAGTCACCAGGTTCTCACTGCCTCGTCTAGTTAGCTCTGAGTAGTCTGAGAGTACCACTAATCCTCACTCAAGTTAAGCTTTGAATAAAAGGTTAGTACATAATTTGTGTACTTAAAAAATCGGTTACATTAATTTTTCATCCCCATTCACTTTCAGTTACATTTTGTCAATAACATTTTGTGTGGCTTTAAAATTTGCAGCTAGTCAATCAATCATAAACAGCATAGAACCTAGAACATATGTGCATCGGTCCGCGTTACCACAACATACAAGCTCAGTTAGATAAAATTTTCAGACCAAAAATAATTGAAAACTGAAAATCTGAGGGAAAACAAAGAGTAACGGTACCTGTACGAATTCGATTGATTCTGAGCCATGTCACCTAAGATTTACAACCATTGGTTATAATCATTGCGCGGACCCTAACCAAATGGTTCGAACCTACCTACCTGGTTCATTTAAACATTGTAGGAATTCTTGGACTGACTTGGTGTTTTGGTTTGGTAGCCTCGAGATTTCTTCCAACCCGTTTCTACACTAGCCAACGACTTACGTCTACGTAGGCGGTGTTTGGGGATACTAAATGTATGCGTCGACTCCCTTAGTTGATGAAGATTTGCTCTCATCAATAGACTTATCTTCTTTATATCGTACAGTCCATTTAACCTGAACCTTGCTCACTCAGTGTACCCGACATATAAGAGGAATATTTTTAAGACACCTATTATAGAATCTTAATAATCTACGAATATTTTCTATTTATGGAAGTAGTAATTCATACCCATAAAGAAGAACAAAGTGTACTGGTGTGTAAACTCGTCTTTTGGTCGATAGACGCAACATGTCATTTTTTAGTATGGCATAAGACATTTTGTACAAACGAGGTACAAATATCATGCTGTATGAATAATTCGTAATAAGCTACAAAAACATCATTGTTGGCCTTTAAAACAAGTGACTACTTATAGTAATATACTATAACATCATTTCATTTTAGCTAAATTATTCAGTGTACCGTTTGGTCAGTAAATAGTATCCAACGTGACTGGGTGTAGACTGAAATGAATTAGATTTAAATCGTATGGAAAAATAACCAATACATACTTTATTAAAATATTTATCATTAGAATCGACTACATAGTGTCGGATCAGTTGATTTAGTCAATGATAATGTCATTCTCATTCAATTAATTTAGTGTATTGGTTGATACTTATTGAATCATTATTCGAATTCTCAAAGTATACTAGTCCGTCCAGGTCATAAAAAATCACTTTACATAAAGCAGTCATATCTTTCAAAGTGAATACTCTTTATTTATAGAAGTATACTTGTCTGATCTCTGTTTGCATTAATTGCCCCCAAATGCCCTGGTACGGTACGGCCGAGAGTGGGGAGAGTCCGCTCTCCCTCTTGAAATGCTCTCAAATGACCACGCGTATGTAGCCTCTGCCAGGGAAGTCCTACTCACTGGCTTCTCGTGGCGGGGGTGTTGTCTACGAAAATGAGAGGACGAAAAGCGAATGTCCGGCACTTTAACCGGATTCCAAATCAATGGTGCACATGGGCTCCAGTATCCTTAAGGAACAAATGGCGTATGAACCAATCGTTGGTCACCGGCTACCATGGGATTGCATCTCCTTACGATGCTCCACTGCCTCATGGATCAGACTTTCAGGTCGAAGGCTCGGGGAGTGGCCCCCTAAGAGAACCACCTGCTTCGGTTTGGGCACCCGGGCAGTATCACAGCCCTCACACATCAAATGAGATTTGTGTGGCGCATATGTCTTTGGTGCCTCCTTGTACCAATATTTATGTGTTAAAACAAATAAAATTGTATTAATTAAAAAGTTCTATTATCTACATTTATAGACTGTAACCATATTTCCATTACATTCTACGTCTGATTATATTACTGAAGTCACAACAACCTCATTGGAATTATTAATTGTCTATAATTGTGGATTATGGTACCAAATGCAACTCGAACGCACCAAAGCTTATTGATTTAAGTAACGTCCCATTACTTTTCTTTATATATATATATATATATATATATATATATATATATATATATATATATATATATATATATAGAGAGAGAGAGAGAGAGAGAGAGAGAGTAGCGTCAATGGAGCAACATATAAACGAGGATATTAGAACAAAACTTACTTTAAACTGATCAATGGTAACAAATTGATGAAAATATGGAAGAATATCCTCTAATTTCAATAGAGGGCAATCTCGTAATAAATTGATAGCTTCTTGCATACTTCCATCAGTACTAATAATATGTTGTGCTGAAAGTGAGAAGAATAATAACGACATCTCAGATGAACAAAAAAAGGAGTAGAATATTCGTTGTAGAGTTAGTCTCTTAGAAAAATCAATAACTTATTCATATACACATGCGAAAACAATGGTACGCTGTTTAGTAAAACATTTAGCTATGACGAAACGATGAAGCATTGAGAATATCTTTAAATTGATAAGAAAAAGTAGAACTCACTGTAAGATTATGATTCATAACGAAGACAGAACTGGGTATACACTGTATAAATGAGTTTACATAGATTTACCATGTATTACAGATTTATTATAACACTGGTAATATTGTAGTGATCGAAGAACTCATGTGGGGACAACCAATTTATTGATTAATGCCATTTTACGGAGTGTCTTCGTGAAAAAATGGAAACTAAACATTAACTGAGCAGAGATGAATGATAACTAGGAGTGAAATCTACGACGTGCGTTTCGTCCTATTTGAGACTCGGACCTAGTACCGTTCGCTTCAAACGCCATTGCGTTATTCCTTTAGCTACTGAGCCCAGATAACCATTAGCTTGTATAATGGGGTGAAGTTTTAATTCATTTTTGTATTGCCTGTTTGAATCTTCCTATTATTATTATTTGAACACATAAATATTGGTACAAGAGAGCGCCAATATATATGCGCCACACAAAACAATGGGAATTCGAAGTAGAAAGAAAAAAAAACTAAGGAACGCAAAAGAAAAAGAGAGTAATGACGAAGAGGTACAATCAGAAGAAATCTTTCAGGTAAAGGAGACACAACCACTTTTTATGAACAAAGTAAAAGAAGGTTACAGTAGGATCGCCACTGGCTTCTATTCTGAGCCATATCTGATAACGTCTCTAGCCACTGTGTAGCACCATCTCTCAGACCCCAACCAGGGAGTCGTGAAGGACCAACCGAAGCCAGTCCTTTGCAGCTTTCTTTCATGCCACGACACCATGTCATGCACTGACCACCTCTCCGCTTCTTCCAACCAGTCCCAGAGTCGGCAAATAATGCACGACGTGGAATTCTCTGGGACGACATTCGGAGAACATGTTCAAGCCACCGAAGTCGGTGTTTCAAGATGGTGACACCAATTGAACTATCATCTCTGTGCCCGAACACACGATGCCGAACCTCTGCATTACTGACATGGTGTTGCCACTGAATGTCAGCAATCCTTCGGAGACAGCGATGATCGAACACAGAGAGTCGTCTAACGTCCTCAACTCGGAGAGGCCAGGTTTCACAAGCATAGAGCAAAACTGCTCTCACCGACGCGTTGTAGATCCGACCTTTTACGGCCAGACTAACATCACGAAGGCGCCATAGATGGCCCAGATTGGCATAAGCCGCTCTGGCTTTCACTATTCGTGCATTGATCTCATCACTCACACCCCCACCAGCACTTATGCAGCTACCCAGATACACGAACTTCTCAACTACGTCTATCTGCTCACCGTCCAGGGTGAGTACAGGATTAGAATACTGCCAGTCTTGTAGAAGTACTTTGCACTTCGAAGGTGCAAAGCACATACCATACCTACGGACACTGATTGCCAACTGATTAAGTGCGGATTGCATGCCTTGGGCATTATCGCACAGTAAGACAATATCGTCCGCATACTCAAGGTCGAGAAGTCTTTCTCCAGGCAACAGATCCACACCACCATTACTTACATTCATCAGAGCTGTTTCCAGAATGTCATCGATGGCAAAGTTGAAGAGGAATGGTGAGATTGGGCAACCCTGCCTAACCCCACTGCTCGAATGGAACAATGGAGAGAGGTGGTTGTATGCCCTCACTCTGCCTCAGGTGTTTTTATACAGGGCTTTTAGGATGTTAATAAACTTCTCAGGCACACCCTTCTTCAATAGACAATCCCAGAGAACAGTCCTATCCAACGAATCGAAGGCAGCCCTTTGAAAAGTATGGCGGTGTTCTAACATTTGGCGGAGGGTGAAGATATGATCAATACATCCTCGACCAGAACGAAACCCAGCCTGCTCCTCGCGAGTCAATCTTTCTCGGGTTTTGAACAACCTACGAAGAATGACGTAAGCCAATAGCTTGGACGCAATCGGAAGTAAACTTATCCCCCGATAGTTGTTACAAGAACGACGTGAACCCTTTTTACAGATAGGGACAACTATCGACTCATTCCATGACGTTGGTACACTCTCTAGTTCCCAAACCTTTGTAAACAACGTCATCGATTCCTTAGTCAAAAAGTCACCACCATCTTTAAAAAGAGCTGGAGGTAAGTCATCTGGGCCAGGTGATTTGTAACGCTTCAAGAGTTGGAGTTCCTTGCGGACTTCCTCCTCATTTGGTGGATCAGTCGTCACCGGCCATGGAGGGCAGGACAGTCTGACCGATGTTGCCGGAGCAGCAGGCCAGTTGAACTGCCCTTCGAAAAATTCTGCCCATCGTCCAAGACGTCGATGGATATAGTGATTGGCATCCCATCATCCTCGCAGATTGTTTCACTCACACCAGACTTCTTGCTGCCAGTGGCTCGGATGAGTTGGAAGAGCTTCCGGTAGTTACCAGATGCAGCTGCTGCTTCCAGCTCATTAGTACGCTTCGACCACCAGGCTTCTCGGTCCTTACGCAAGCTTTGCCCGATTTCCTTACATAGCATCCTTCGTTTATGGTCAAACTCACGGTCACCCGGAGTAGACCGACGGGCTTCAATGAGTTGTAAGGAACCAGAAGAAACCCAGTGCTTAAAAGCGGGACGTTTCGCAAACCCACAACTGACTGTTCCCGCCATTTTCATGGCGTCATGCAATTGCAACCAATGCTCATCTATACTTTTCGGTGGAGTGGTAGCTAGCCTAGAGGCTAGCTCAGTTCGATACTTACTTGCAACAGAAGTTGCAACCAGCTTGCTAACATCAATCCGTTGATGGCGTTCACTTCGTTGTCCACTGAAAAGTAAGGCAAGATTGGTGCAGACCAAGGCATGGTCAGAGTCCAGATAGGTACTCCAAAAGGAGCGGCAGTCTTGTACACAACCACGCCAGCGGTAGCTGATCGCGATGTGATCAATCTGAGTCCAGGCTTGAGATGCAGAGGGAGGACGCCAGGTGGCATATCGGCGATGACTGTGCCGAAAGTTAGTGCTAGCCAGAAACAGGTTTTGGTCTGTGCAAAGTTGCAGTAGACGGTCCCCGTTATCTGACCTGCGACCAACGAGTCCCCATCGGCCACCTAAACGACTCTCTTCTGTGCCTAGACGCCCGACCTGAGCATTCAAGTCTCCGGCTAGTACTACAATATCTGTCGAACGCACTTTCTGGAGAAGAACTGATAATTGGTGGTAAAACTCATCCTTGATTGCATCCGGGCTGCAATCTGTCGGGGCATAGGCGGAGATGACGAAAAGACATCGTTTCTCACGCCGATTTCTTCTCACTTTGATGGAACTTTCTAATCTAACAGCACATAACCGACTGTTAATGGGGATCCAATCGACTAGTGCTGCCTGAGCTCTAGCGCTTAGTGCGACACCAACGCCAGCAAGACCAGACGAAGATGCCACAGGGTCCCCGGATAAGCGCACGTAAAACAAGCTTTTCGAAGCGACAGATGGAGATCGAATTTGTAGTACTTCGCCAGAGTCTTGAATACGGGTCTCGGATAGACAACACACGTCGATATTAAGACTTTCCAAAGACATAGCCAGCCCTATCTGTTGTCCGACCTGCATAAATGTGCGAACGTTGAAGGCAGCCAGTTTGAATGATGCACGTGGTTTCAGAAAATCTGCTTCAGTCCTCGTATTCGGTGGTAACATACAATTTTCAACCGGACAGTGACTCGAGAACGTTTAGATACAGTCGGAATTCCACCAAAGACGAGCCGCTGTATAAGTATAAAAGAAGGTGAATAATGTGGAAAATAATAATAATAATGATGATAATAACAATAATGACAATAATAGTAGTAATAATAATATTAGTATTAATAATGACAATAATTGTAGTGATCATAATTTGAATCAATTGATTGTTTTTCAAAGCGACAAAAGTAATTTCCATAGACATAAAGAGTTCATCATTTGTGTGTGGGCTGTGATACTGCCCGGGTGCCCAAACCGAAGCAGGTGGTTCTCTTAGGGGGCCACTCCCCGAGCCTTTGACCTAAAGGTCTAACCCACAAGGCAGTGGAGCATCGTAAGGAGATGCAGTCCCATGGTAGCCGGTGACCAACGATTGGTTCATACGCCATTCGTTCCCGCAGGATACTAGAGCCAGCCCATGTGCACCATTGATTTGGAATCCGGTTAAAGCGCCGGACATTCGCTTTTCGTCCTCTCATTTTCGTAAACAACACCCCCGCCACGAGAAGGCAATGAGTGGGACTTCCCTGGCAGAGGCTGTATACGCGTGGCCGTGTGAGAGTATTTCGAGAGGGAGGGCGGACACTCCCCACTCTCGGCCGTACCAGGGCATTCAGGGGGCACATGTCCCATCATTTGTCTTTCACAAACTTTATCGTTCCTTCATTCCTGTTGTGATTTTGATTACTTTTTGTTTTTTTCTGTCATTTCTTCATTGCAATCTTTTGCTCACAGGCCTTCTACCATCGATCGGAGCTACATCCTACTTATATCTGTCAACATAAGTAGTACACACTACAATATTATTTATTGTTCAATACCAAAGCATCAACTCACAGCTCAAAACACAAATTATACTATGTGGCAACATGGTTGATGACAGATGTATATTATAAGAAAAAAAAATTTTAAAATTAATATTGTTGAAAAGTAGTATTGTTGTAAGTGGATACTTCCTAAGATTAGTGATCGAATTACAAAGTCTCAATTGAATACCATTTCTATATTTTTATGTTCTTATGCCCATTAATTATCATGTGATAAAATCTCCAATTAGAACACCGATTTATTGACCAGATCAATGACGTATAAACAAATACGAGCAGCCTAGAGTCAACTCTGAGGTCCTGATTAGTCCCCTGAGATAATAGCCAGTTCGGTTCAGAACACTAATATTAGCCTCTGTTATATAAATCCTGTATTTTAGATGTACTTGGTTTATATACACACAAACCAGACTGCATCATACCATAAAATATAAAATAACAATTATGCTAGATGAGGCCAAAAGTGTCTGTGATTATGAGAGACTGTAACTAATAAATCGAGAGTAACTTAAGAATAGTAAATAGTATAGTAGTAGTCAGTAAGTCAAATGAAAGTTTATAATGGAATATAAATATACATATAATACAGTTACTTAATCTGGTTAGCGTTTTTTAACCAGTTCTACTGTATGGGGCAGAAACCTGGAGAACTACGAAAGCCATCATCCACAAGATACAGGTGTTTATATTAACAGTTGTCTACGCAAAATACTTCAGATTCGTTGGCCAGACACTATGAGCAACAACCAACTGTGGGAAAGAACAAACCAGATTCCAGCGGAGGAAGAAATTAGGAAGAAGCGCTGGAAGTGGACAAGACACACATTGAAGAAAACACCCAACTGCGTCACAAGACAAGCCCTCACATGGAATCCTCAAGGCCAAAGGAAAAGAGGAAGACCAAAGAACACATTACGCCGGGAAATGGAGATAGACATGAGAAAAATGAACAACAATTGGATGGAATTAGAAAAGAAGGCTCAGGACAGAGTGGGTTGGAGAATGCCGGTCAGCGGCCTATGCTCCATTAGGAGTAACAGGCGTAAGTAAGTAAGTAGTTACTCAATCGTTATACAATAAGAATATATATAATAATAGTCCATAAATTGATCCTAGCAGTTACTATTTACTTATTCTTCGTCCGGATGTAACATATAGCGCACAGATAATTGAGAAAACTTACCGCAGAATCACTTAATCAAGTATCTCTTTTACAAATGTTCCCGTGAAAAATGGCACTTATGCTCTCGTCAAATATGCTACTAATTTTAGCAATCATAATGAGTCTATCTATAATGTTGCAATTCATTATTCATTTAATGACAAAAAATCGAAAACCGAATATTCTAGTCCAAAAATGTCTAGCTAAGACCAATACAATAATTTCAACAAAACCCCTTCAACTAAACTATAACAATCAGCTCACTAACAACTTATATGATGATTATCTCAAGGTTCCAGTAGAAAATCGTAACTGGTGCAGTTCAGATACTTAGCGAGTAAAACAGTTTTCGTTAGTGTCAGTAAGTGATCAAAATGCTGAATAATAAATTGATTGAATTTATGAATTTACCACTGGACGGTGATACAGACATTCTAGTTGTAAAGTGTTGATCCAGAGACTTGAATATTGGGGATCGCATTACAAGTGAGATCAAGAGTTTGTACAACTTAGGAGAAATAGATGTGCAGCATAACTGAGCTTCATTTGTGATAAATATCATACACATATCAGACTTGATCTACTAAAATAGACTTAATGTAATTCACAAACTTCTCAATTATCATTAAGTGTAGTGTACTACTAGTTATTTGTCAGTTACTTTTAACAAATCTGTGTTCTCATTTTTAATAATATCGGGATGCGCTACATTAAAAGACAGACAGTTTCAGATAACTTCAACCATTTGAAATAAATTCGTTAGTAAAAATGACAATTTAGTACACAACACTTACCCACTAAATGAACGAGAAAAAAGAATCTCAACATGCCTAGATACGATACATTTAATGAACAAACAAAACATTGTAAGAAATCTCAACTTAAACAGTAACCAAGATGATGCATCATACAACATATCACATTGCTTACCTAATTGAATCCATAATTGACGACGTACATTAGAATTCAAAAATTCACTTTGAGCAATTTCTTTAGCGAATGGAATATTATTCTAACAAGAAATTTTAAAAAATTATGAAAAAATGGTGATTATTTTATTTTATTTATTTATTTAAACATATAAAAACTGGTAAAAGAAGGTATCAAATATCCATGCGCCACACTTCATCATACAATTTGTGTGAGGGCTGGAATATTCCCCGACTGCTTAAACTGAAGCAAGTGGTTTTCATAGATGGGTCACTCGCCGAGCACTTCACCTAGAGGTTCAATTCATAAGACAGTAGAGCAAAGTTAGGAGATGCGGTCCCATTTTAGTCGGTGACCAACAATAGGTTGATAAGTTACTTGCTCCCTCAGGATCGTAGAGCCCATGTGGACCATTGGTTTTGGATTGTGATTTTCCTGCTCTTGTAGTTAGATCCTCATATTCACTAACCTGGTTAAAGAGTCAGACATTCGCTTTTTATCCTCACCATTCCACAAACAATGTCATTTGCACTTCTTCTCTGAGTTATGTCCTTCAAACTACATTGTTCCTTCATTTCTACTGTTATTTTAATTGCTTCCAGTTTTTTTCCTCTATTTTCTTTTCATTTACATAATCTGTCAGTAAGAATCTCATTTCCCATACCTGACACACTACTTATATCTGACCATGTTAGTAGCATGCATCACAATAGTAATACCGTAATAAATGAGAACTCAGATGAATTCAATGGAAAATTACAGAACATCTAGGTAAAATATGGGAACTATACATTAAATACTTCATTTGAAAATCTTCCATCAAATATGCTTTACATTCTGCATGATTCTTCAAACTCACAATTCCTTTCTATTTCCCATTCTGTTTTCATCAATCCGATCTTGTTAGCCCTTTGATTCCAGGCAGTCCTCTTCTGATAGATGTTACATACTGCCTATGTCCATCAACACAAGTAGCATCAACCATAATGTTAGTAATAGATTAGTTGTATTACCAAATGTTAATTTTAATAAATTTTATAATAATGAAAATTAGTATAATAATAATTTTATAAAACCGTACCAATTCAATGGCTAATTGTAAAGCTTCCTGATGCATATCCAATAATTGTAGTATATAAAGTACACCTTTTAAATGATCAACTTCTTTGCATAAACGAAGCACATAACCAGGATCATAGGGTAACACTATGCAGAAAAAAAGTCAAAATGAACTCGATAAATAAGTAAAAATACTACCCAACTTTAGAGATTAACTGCAAACCATCTAATTCTTTAATATAGAACACATAATTCTGAATCATTCAAACAAGTGGCATAAATAGGATCTTTGCCAATAAAATTCGATCACGACTAAGAAGAACCAGACGAATAAAATATGAAATTGTTTATGACACAGTGATTAGTCAGTTGTAAGTAGCTTGGTCCAACAAGTTCATTGGAAATCGAATAGCTCATTGAACGGCATGTCAAACTATGAAGCTGCGTCGTTAGGATTGAACTATACGAGGGGCATTATTTACCGGACGAGTACACGTAAGCCCCATCGAAAAATACAAGACAGCACAAAATCCAGAAGGGTTCCGAGTCGACTATTTCCAACTACCTGGTAGAAAAATTTAATTTGTAATCCATAAGTTTCCTCCTAAATAATTAAGTTTAAAATAAACAAGTACCTAGATGAATTAACCTTATTCATTTTTTGTAAATTTTTTAAAGAATGTATTTGTTATAATGTTGTTGTCAATGTTCTCATGTATGCATTCCATAAAATGCTAGTTGAATAACTTCAAGGTCGAGTATTATAGGCAGAGATGGATGATGGATAGCAGTGGAATTCACGACGCGCGTTTCAGCCTATTTTGAACTGGTCAACTGGTTGTTAATGTTTACTCTGAGACTCGAACCTAGTACCGTTCGCTACAAACACTATCACGTTATCCACTTAGCTACTGAGTTTAGATAACCACTAGCTTATACAATCGAGTGAAGTTTTAATTCGTTTTTGTATTGTTTGTTTAACTCTTCCTAATGATGTTTCCGATTGCAACTGATCAGTCTTTTATTCAAACAACCAATACAAAAATGAATTCAAAGTCAAATGTTTTTTAAGCTTCCTCGAGAAGAGTCATCAACAGTGTCCACTATTATGAACATCAACGTGTAGATAATCAAAAAATTTTATTTATTTATTTAAACACAGAAACACTGGTACAAGGAGGCAGCAAATAGATATACGCCACATAAAACATTGGATTTATGTAAGGGTTAGGATACTGCCCGAGTGTCCAAAACGAAACAGGTGGTTTTCTTAGGGAGCCACACCTCGAGCATTAGACCTAAAGGTCTGATCCACAAGGCAGTGGAGCATCGTAAGGAGATGCAGTCCCATGGTAGCCGGTGACGAACAAGAGGTTTATACGCCATTTGTTCCTTTAGGATACTGGAGCCCATGTGCATAATTGGTTTGGAATAAGGGTTTTTCAACTCCCCTAGGTGAATTCTCCGTGTCCACCAAACAACATATCACACAAAATGTATTAACTTACATGACTGGATATCTTGTTCTTGATGTTGATTTGTTAAACATTTTAATTTATTCATTACAATACCGGTAGAACAATCATTCACTGTATCATTATCATGTTCTAACAATGATAATTCAGTTAAATCCATATTCATTAATGGATAATCATTGAATAAATCTCCATTATCGACAATATTTTGTTGATGTTGTTGTTTTAAACGTCTTATATGAATGGCTTGGATACTAAATTTTTCTAAATATTTCATTAATCTATCATCATTATGATTTAAATGATATTCATTAGCATATAATGAAATAAGCATATGATGTACAGCTTGATTTGATATATTTTTATTAGTATATATTCCAATAGTATCTTCTAAGTAATTTATTGCATAATTATTTGGTAACAACATAATTGAAGGTAGAAGTCTATTTATAAAGAAATAAGAAAGAAGGAGAAAGAAAAAGAAGAAACGAGACAAATAAGTTACAATTATGTAAAAATAAGATGAATGAGAATTGACCAAGAGAAGTAATAATAGAGTAACGGTTTTGGGCGATTACAGATTGAAGTTTGTTTATTTGTTTTCCAACCAATACGTTTTATATTCAAAATACTATGCTTCAATGAATTCGCTTTTAAACAGCTGGTTAAAATGATTGACTGTTAAAATAACCTCTATAGATAAGTGGGAGCTAACTAACTGGTTAGGGTTTGTACTATAGTTGTGATCATCGATTGAAGAAGCTAGATGTTTTGACATGAGATATCCGAAATCTGATATTGGTACATAGTTTGCTATGTGCTAACCACCACCACCACCCCAATTGACTACTTGGAGAATTGACCCCAACAAAATACACTTGACCTTTAGGTTATTTTTTACTTTTGGCTCTCTATAGCACTGGATGATATGACTCGAAATTGGGATTGAAACAATTTAAATGTAAACACTTTTCAACTTTATTTGAATTGTAAGTTTACAATTTTGTTTCATGACTTACTGAGCATAAATAATGTGACATTTTGAACCAATACACATTTGTGTCAGATTCAAAGTTACTTATGACTAGCTAAATGACTTAACTTTCAACCAATATGTCTCAGTTTTATGACACCTTTAGTTACATCATGTCAAAAACTTTTAATAAGTAAGATATATTTTTAAAACAACAGGAAAAAAGAGAGGATAAAGAAATATTGGAACCAAGTTCGTCTGTTCATAATACTTAAGTTGTTGAGAAGTATGATCAATGATCTTCTAATCCAGTATACAGTTAAACACTAATGAATTCAGATGTTTTGAAACAATCATCCAGAGATTGAAGAAGATATTCAACTGAGTTCAATTGTTAACTATACTTTTAGTTAAAATGTTTAAATTGGTGATTTTATGTTTGGTATGGTTAAAGAAAAAATAAATGGCTTCAGACTAGCCGTGAAAACCAGGATGTGAATTCGGTCGTATTTGAGACTAGTCACATGGATGTACCTACGCCTAAAGTATTATTATTTACATTGAAACTCCAACCTAGTACATTTTGCTACCGAATTCGGGTAATTAATCACTTATATAACAAGCATGGTGTTTATATTATTCTCAGCAAAAGTTCTTAATAAACACAAGGTATCTAGACGTTGAGCGTTCGCACGCGAGAACGAAGGTCTTGGATTTGAATCCCGCGAGCAAGACCATGGATACGCACTGCTGAGGAGTCACAAACCAGGACTCTCAACAGTGAATTAACAGATTACCACCAGAAAAGAAATTAACGGAGTTATGAAGTCTATCTGTTCAGCTTCTCGATTTATTATCATTAAACAAACACTTTAATGAATAAAAACCTAATAATGCTACGGATAGCTGATACAAAAAGTCAAGTTTAGTAAAATTGGATTTAATACTTGTTTACATAAAGAAAAAAATTTCTAGTGAACAAATTATCTTAGTGTTATAGCGTCTGCTTGATTACGGCAGAATACGCTGTACGACAATTGGCACTCGAACGTGTAGAACGCCACAGTTGCAAATCAAAAAATAGAAAAAGCAAAGGAAGCGATTGTTGGGTAAGTGTCAAGAATGAATGGAAAATTGGTGTATTTATAGTTTTTAGTATTGGGTATAACATCATCATAATCAAGCCAATTCACATTTATTATTTACTTATTTTATTTGAACACATAAATATTGGTACAAGAGAGCGCCAATATATATGCGCCACACAAAACAATGGGAATTCGAAGAGAAGTAGAAAGAGAAAAAAAAACTAAGGAACGCAAAAGAAAAAGAGAACAATGACGAAGAGATTGGAGTAAGGTAGTGTGGTAGTAACGACGGAACGAAAAGGTACAATCAGAAGAAATCTTTCAGTTAGGGAAGACACAACCATTTTTTATGAAGAAAGTAATAGAAGGTTACAGCAGGATCGCCACTGGCTTCTATTCTGAGCCGTATCTGATAACGTCTCTAGCCACTGTGTAGCACCATCTCTCAGACCCCAACCAGGGAGTCGTGAAGGACCAACACAAGCCAGTCCTTTGCAGCTTTCTTTCATCCCACGACACCATGTCATGCACTGACCACCTCTCCGCTTCTTCCAACCAGTCCCAGAGTCGGCAAATAATGCACGACGTGGAATTCCTTGGGACGACATTCGTAGAACATGTCCAAGCCACCGAAGTCAATGTTTCAAGATGGTGACACCAATTGAGTTATCATCTCTGTGCCCGAACACACGATGCCGAACCTCTGCATTACTGACATGGTGTTGCCACTGAATGTCAGCAATCCTTCGGAGACAGCGATGATCGAACACAGAGAGTCGTCTAACGTCCTCAACTCGGAGAGGCCAGGTTTCACAAGCATAGAGCAAAACTGCTCTCACCGACGCGTTGTAGATCCGACCTTTTACAGTCAGACTAACATCACGAAGGCGCCAAAGGTGGCCCAGATTGGCATAAGCCGCTCTGGCTTTCACTATTCGTGCATTGATCTCATCACTCACACCCCCACCAGCACTTATGAAGCTACCCAGATACACGAACTTCTCAACTACATCTATCTGCTCACCGTCCAGGGTGAGTACAGGATTAGAATCCTGCCAGTCTTGTAGAAGTACTTTGCACTTCGAAGGTGCAAAGCACATACCATACCTACGGACACTGATTGCCAACTGATTAAGTGCGGATTGCATGCCTTGGGCATTATCGCACAGTAAGACAATATCGTCCGCATACTCAAGGTCGAGAAGTCTTTCTCCAGGCAACAGATCCACACCACCATTACTTACATTCATCAGAGCTGTTTCCAGAATTTCATCGATGGCAAAGTTGAAGAGGAATGGTGAGATTGGGCAACCCTGCCTAACCCCACTGCTCGAATGGAACAATGGAGAGAGGTGGTTGTATGCCCTCACTCTGCCTCAGGTGTTTTTATACAGGGCTTTTAGGATGTTAATAAACTTCTCAGGCACACCCTTCTTCAATAGACAATCCCAGAGAACAGTCCTATCCAACGAATCGAAGGCAGCCCTGATGTCAAGAAACACTACGATTGTTGGCCTTTGAAAAGTATGGCGGTGTTCTAACATTTGGCGGAGGGTGAAGATATGATCAATACATCCTCGACCAGAACGAAACCCAGCCTGCTCCTCGCGAGTCAATCTTTCTCGGGTTTTGAACAACCTACGAAGTATGACGGAAGCCAATAGCTTGGACGCAATCGGAAGTAGACTTATCCCCCGATAGTTGTTACAAGAACGACGTGAACCCTTTTTAAAGATAGGGACAACTATCGACTCATTCCATGACGTTGGTACACTCTCTAGTTCCCAAACCAGGTGATTTGTAACGCTTCAAGAGTTGGAGTTCCTTGCGGACTTCCTCCTCATTTGGTGGATCAGTCGTCACCGGCCATGGATGGCAGGACAGTCTGACCGATTTTACCTGAGCAGCAGGCCGGTTGAACTGCCCTTCGAAAAATTCTGCCCATCGTCCAAGACGTCGATGGATATAGTGATTGGCATCCCATCATCCTCGCAGATTGTTTCACTCACACCAGACTTCTTGCTGCCAGTGGCTCGGATGAGTTGGAAGAGCTTCCGGTAGTTACCAGATGCAGCTGCTGCTTCCAGCTCATTAGTACGCTTCGACCACCAGGCTTCTCGGTCCTTACGCAAGCTTTGCCCGATTTCCTTACATAGCATCCTTCGTTTATGGTGAAACTCACGGTCACCCGGAGTAGACCGACGGGCTTCAATGAGTTGTAAGGAACCAGAAGAAACCCAGTGCTTAAAAGCGGGACGTTTCGCAAACCCACAACTGACTGTTCCCGCCATTTTCATGGCGTCATGCAATTGCAACCAATGCTCATCTATACTTTTCGGTGGAGTGGTAGCTAGCCTAGAGGCTAGCTCGGTTCGATACTTACTTGCAACAGAAGTTGCAACCAGCTTGCTAACATCAATCCGTTGATGGCGTTCACTTCGTTGTCCACTGAAAAGTAAGGCAAGATTGGTGCAGACCAAGGCATGGTCAGAGTCCAGATAGGTACTCCAAAAGGAGCGGCAGTCTTGTACACAACCACGCCAGCGGTAGCTGATCGCGATGTGATCAATCTGAGTCCAGGCTTGAGATGCAGAGGGAGGACGCCAGGTGGCACATCGGCGATGACTGTGCCGAAAGTTAGTGCTAGCCAGAAACAGGTTGTGGTCTGTGCAAAGTTGCAGTAGACGGTCCCCGTTATCTGACCTGCGACCAACGAGTCCTCATCGGCCACCTAAACGACTCTCTTCTGTGCCTAGACGCCCGACCTGAGCATTCAAGTCTCCGGCTAGTACTACAATATCTGTCGAACGCACTTTCTGGAGAAGAACTGATAATTGGTGGTAAAACTCATCCTTGATTGCATCCGGGCTGCAATCTGTCGGGGCATAGGCGGAGATGACGAAAAGACATCGTTTCTCACGCCGATTTCTTCTCACTTTGATGGAACTTTCTAATCTAACAGCACATAACCGACTGTTAATGGGGATCCAATCGACTAGTGCTGCCTGAGCTCTAGCGCTTAGTGCGACACCAACGCCAGCAAGACCAGACGAAGATGCCACAGGGTCCCCGGATAAGCGCACGTAAAACAAGCTTTTCGAAGCGACAGATGGAGATCGAATTTGTAGTACTTCGCCAGAGTCTTGAATACGGGTCTCGGATAGACAACACACGTCGATATTAAGACTTTCCAAAGACATAGCCAGCCCTATCTGTTGTCCGACCTGCATAAATGTGCGAACGTTGAAGGCAGCCAGTTTGAATGGTGCACGTGGTTTCAGAAAATCTGCTTCAGTCCTCGTATTCGGTGGTAACATACAATTTTCAACCGGACAGTGACTCGAGAACGTTTAGATACAGTCGGAATTCCACCAAAGACGAGCCGCTGTATAAGTATAAAAGAAGGTGAATAATGTGGAAAATAATAATAATAATGATGATAATAACAATAATGACAATAATAGTAGTAATAATAATATTAGTATTAATAATGACAATAATTGTAGTGATCATAATTTGAATCAATTGATTGTTTTTCAAAGCGACAAAAGTAATTTCCATAGACATAAAGAGTTCATCATTTGTGTGTGGGCTGTGATACTGCCCGGGTGCCCAAACCGAAGCAGGTGGTTCTCTTAGGGGGCCACTCCCCGAGCCTTCGACCTAAAGGTCTAACCCACAAGGCAGTGGAGCATCGTAAGGAGATGCAGTCCCATGGTAGCCGGTGACCAACGATTGGTTCATACGCCATTCGTTCCCGCAGGATACTGGAGCCCATGTGCACCATTGGTTTGGAATCCGGTTAAAGCACCGGACATTCGCTTTTCGTCCTCTCATTTTCGTAGACAACACCCCCGCCACGAGAAGGCAATGAGTAGGACTTCCCTGGCAGAGGCTGTATACGCGTGGCCGTGTGAGAGTATTTCGAGAGGGAGAGCAGACTCTCCCCACTCTCTGCCGTACCAGGGCCAATCCACAAAAAGAGAAGGTATACAATTGTGCAATCAGAGAATGTCATATTGACAGTCTAGAAGGTTCTATCAGGTTCTGATTGGACGGAATATCTTAGGTTTCTTCAGAAACTCTGGAGGCTTTGTCAGACTTCTGGAAACCATCGCAACACTTAGTTCATAGGGTCCTCATTTGGACATGAAATTATTCTATTCTAAAATAGTTTGTAATTCACTGGAAATATATATCCTATGATAAATCTTGTAAATAAACGCCTAGACGCTGACATAAATTAACCTTGGAGTAAACAGTTCTTTCCATATTATTACGCGTCTTTTCTCTCGTGTTCAATTTGTCGTGTAGAACTAGCCTAGGGCTATTAAAAGAGCTTAGGAAACCGATGCAAGTGTTCAGTTAGAAGATCTATCAGCTTTATACTGCACTGTTTTGTGTGAGATGTGTTGTGATACTACCATAATGCTGTTGAAATCAAATGTACAAGCAGGACACCGCATCTTTCTCATTCTAATTCACTGCCCCTGTAACAACATGAAACTGAGTAACACTATGCTGTGTTTTAATTTATTATTGTTGGCTAGATAATCACAACAATAAAAACAGTATAATAGTTCAAACGTGAATCATTATTATTATTTGTTTGAACATATAAATATTGGCACAAGGAGGCACCAAATACATATGCACCACACAAATCTCATTTGAATTGTGTGAGGGCTGTGATACTGCCTGGGTGTTCAAATCGAAGCAGGTGGTTTTCTTAGGAGCCTTCGACCTAAAGGTGTGATCCACAAGGTAGTGGAGCATCGTAAGGAGATGCAGTCCCATGGTAGCCGGTGACCAGTAAGTGTTTCATACGCCATTTGTTCCTTAAGGATACTGGAGTCCATGTACACCATTGGTTTGCAATCAGGGTTTTTCAACTCCCCTAGGTGGACTCTCCATGTCCACCAACCCGGTTAAAGCGCCGGACATTCGCTTTTCATCCTCTCAATTTCGTAAACAACACTTGGACGCGAGAAGGCAGAGGCTATATACGCGTGGCCAACGTGAATCATATTACCAGATAGAGGACGGTGGCTTATAACATTCAAGCTGTTCGACTTTCAACTACTTATTTGTAAGTTTGAATCCCACTGAACCTACTTCAGTATGAGCAACCTCAAACTTAGAGTATACAGGCCAAGTAAATGAATTTGATATTTAGAACAAGCTATACCACATAATCACTGGTCGAAAATACTGAAAATTAAACTAATTTTACGTCAAAACGTACAATTTTTATAAAAAGAATAAGAAGGTTATAATTACTAACCGATTAATATCCAATTTATTGTTTAAACGAAGACATACATTAACAAATTCCTCTGGACATTTACTAGCTAAGCATGATGCATGATCATATAGTCGATTTAAACAGTTTGGATAGGTGGCTAATATTTTTAAGGCATCACTGTACATACATTGACGCATATAATGATCCACTAAACGAGGATAATCTAATTTTTCAAAATGAGATAAATGAGAGAAAAAAGGACAAAAGAAAGAAGTCTGAATAAGTGAACAAATATACAGCTGAACAATTGAAAACAATTACCGGCATTAACCGTATCAGTATCAGTCAGTCAGTCAGCTACAACGTAGGACCAGGCACATATCAGTATGGTGAAATTTAATTCTATGTATTTTATAATAACGAGAAATAGTTCCAGTTAGTCATTGTCAATGTAAGATATGAGATGCATTTGAATATACCCCACAGAAATACAAAAAGGGAGAAGATCCACTATAGGAAAAGAAAAGGTGAGGAATTAACTTCGACTGCACTAAAGACCTAAGTAGGCCCTTACCTTATTTTCAACCATCTACTTGTGACAACTAACATCAAAGGTCACGGTAATCGGTAGCTAATCATGACAAGTAGTTAAATACCTGAAGATTTGTGAGCATACTTTCCGCAAATAAGAATGATAATCAGAACCAAAACACTCGATAGTTAAATGATCCGATGTACATATGTCCCTATGACTACAATGACCTAAAGGTGTACCGGGAAGATTGATATCACTTATACCGTCATAATCAACATAAAGGATTGGAATAATGTGTGTTAGATCAGGTTTTTTATTTCACCTTAGTACAAGGAAATAAAATTAATAAGATGAAAGAGTTGAAGTAATCACGGTAGTGATATTGATTTAGAACAAACAACAGAAATATATTTTGATGAGGTGGTAAGTAGGGAGGAATACTAAAAGTCAAGATCTAGGGGAAGACAAGTGAATTCATCTGCATTATTGTAACTGATTCTGAGCCATATTACTAAACGCTTTCAACCACTGATTCAAATAACCGTGTAGACCTGATTCAAGTAGTCTATATATACTTACACCACTCAATCCCACAATGAAATACTTCATGGGCTAATGTCATTGTCTCAATCTGACCGGTTCTAGCTTTCTCTTAACCTATTTCTACACCAGCTAACATCGTGGTGGTTGGACAGACGCAACACATATCCCAACCACCTCAAATGATGAGGATTCGCATAATAGAACGGTTTGCCAACTTTCTCTAGTGGCTTATGTCTTAACCTTAGCATTTATCGCTTAACCATTCCACAACACTCAAGAAATACTTTAAAGACGGTTGTATATTTAATTAAAGTGTTTAGAAGACTCTCCACCACATCAACATCTTCACCAAATAAGATTGTACCATCTGTGTTATCTCAGTTGATCAGTATACGTCCTGGTAAGAAATCTATCCCTACAAAGTTAGGTGAAACTTCGATTTTCAGGAGGACATCTATGATGTAGTTATATAAAAACAGGGTGGTGGGCAACCCTGATAGACACCACAAGAGGTTGGCAATTCATAAGCTCTGACTCGAACACTAATATTTGAAGGACGAGTCTGTAGTGTTTAGTACCAAGTCAATCCCAGATAGGTTATTCTAGCTTCCGGATAGACGAGTTTATTCATTCATTCTTTTTTTTCTTCACATCTTGACCTTGTCAATTATTCGCTTATTAACCTTGACTGTTTTTATATGAGTGTATGTATGTGCATTGCTTATGATACCCATCACATGTGTGTAACTTACTTTTGTCTGACTATAAATACTGAATCTCACCATAACAAAATGAGTTGGCATCTCTCTCCCTTTCTCTTTCTCCACTTAATCTCTCTAATTGTCTGTCTGTGACAATGACCATACAAATTATACGTATTCAAAATGCATTCTTGTATTTGACTTATTTTATTAAGTTATTCATTAACGCGACTCAGGTCGATAATTACATACAGGAATAACCAGGATGCATATTTTGATAACATCATCATACGATGTAATTGCAGTCAGATAAAAAAGTCTCAAAAAGCCTACACATTATTTATGTTCTTTTTTCGGTACGCTTTTCAATGATAAACTACCACAGAACCTCTCGGTCAACAGAGTTGAATACCGCCCTATGGTAGGGAAATATTATGATATTTGCGAGATTGTAATTATGATTATATTTTAGAACCTAACGAGCAGTAATTAGTTGATCGATACATCAACGTCCAAGTCTGAATTCATCCTGCTTTTCCCGAGTTTGCTGTTCACGAGCATTATTTAAGAGTTGGATGATTGTTGAATATCTTCTGATAGAACTTCATTTAAAATGCGTAATTATTATTATTTCTTAGTACAAATAAACTTAGAGTTAACCTTATCCATTAAAAGTAATATGCAATATTACATAGTGAACCTCAGTATGGTTATTTTATTACATTTAACAATACACCTCAAAAACGTCCAGAAAAATCTAAAAATCTAACAAATAACTAATAATCAGTTGGTGGTAATATGTTTACATAAGAGTAATTATAGACAATATAGCACAATACTTGATTAGAAACCACGTAATTAAATTGAAACCATTTTTATACGTCTAAAAATTAGGTTTACAGACCATTACACAAATGCTTTAGATAAGATTAAGATTACCAGTGATTTAGAGATTAAATTATTCAAATTCTAACTGAATACTGGCTTCGCCTACATCTATTGAACCAACTTAAAGATAATACTAGTAACAGAAACAAAAAAACAGTGAGGTTGAAAATTGTTAGGGGACCCAAAAACCTCTTCGAAAAAAACCAAAACGGCCTTGAAAATACTAGGAAACATGTTATCCAATCACCATTCAGTAGAACTCTCTCAGGAACATCTAGAAATTAAATTGTCACAAGACACATTCCTCATTGGATGATTACCTAACTATACTGCTACCGTGCGTGGTAGGGTTCCAGAACTTTCCACAAGCAAAACCTCATCTAAAAATGCTATAAACACCCAAGATTTTCTGTACATAAATTAACCTTGGAGTAAACAGTTCTCTCCATATTATTACGCGTCTTTTCTCTCGTGTTCAATTTGTCGTGTAGAACTAGCCTGGGGTTATTAAAAAATCTTAGGAAATAGATAGATTCAAGTGTGTAGTTAGAAGATTTATGAAAAAATTTCAATTTCTTATTGTATTACTTAAATTATTCATTGAATATTGAATGATTTAACAAAACAGAACTATGGATGATAATGATTTACCTTTCATTAATTCCATAAAATAAACAAGTTCATCATTTTCCCCATGATTTTCCAGTAAATCGTATATCAAAGATTTTGCTTCTGGTAAAAAATTCTAATGGAGATGTATAGAAAATCATAGAAATACATTTATTTTCATATATCTATGACAAAACAAAATACAGTCATAATTCTTAAAGTTTCCTAGTATAAAAGGAATGTACACTTAAACTGTTCTGAGGTTATTTATTTATTTAAACACATAAACATTGGTATAAGGAGGCACCAACTATACAGACATCACATAAATCATTCGATTTTTGTGAGCGCTAAGACACCATTCAGGTGACCAAATCAAAGCAGGTGATTTTCTTAGACGGCCACTAACAGAGCTTTTCATCAAGAGGTTTAATCCATAAGGCAGTAGAGCAACGTTAGAAGATGCAGTCTCATAGTATTCGGTGATCAACAATAGGTTGATATGTCATTTGTTTCGTCAGGATCCTGGAGCCTATGTGCACCATTAGTTTGGAATTGTAGTTTTTCAACTCTCTTAGGTGGATCCTCTATATCCACCATCCTGGTTAGTCAGTTACAACGTAGGACCAGGCACATATATGCATCGATCCTAGTTTCCACATCTCATTAACACAAAAACATCAACACCAAATTCATAGAATTAGTTACTTCAATAATAAAGAAGGAACGAATTGAGCGAAGAAATTTCTTTTCAATTAGTTTTTCATCATGGCTCTACACTAATATATATACGTTTTACAATAATAATATAATACTCATCGAGTGGATACGTTACGTAATAATTACATAATGACATTTAAATTAACATTAATTAATTGGAAGAAAGAGGATTATTAATATTCAAAGTGATCAAGAAGTTGCTAAGTTGCGTAATGTAAGAAACAAAGAAGGAACAGAATTTTAACGGATGGTCAATAGGATGGTAGTTACGTAAGAATCAAGAGATGAATGTTGAGAAGTTATTAAGTTCAAAAGCAACAGAAATAAAATTACAAAAGTTTAAAAAATTACAAAAAATTACAAAAGTTTTAAAAAATTAAAAAAAAATGGAAGAAGTATGAAAAATAGTTCTTTTGAAGGAAATCTTAAACTGATGGCCAGGGCAGGGAAAGTGGTTGTACGAATCTCTTTTGTATGCAAAGGTCAGGTTTGTGAACATGGATTGCGATGGCTTCCGCAATGTGCAAGAGGCGCACTCGTAAACCATGTGGCAAATTAGATGGGATATTGTAGATAACCTTAAAAGCTTTATTCAATTCGACTTGATGACCTGTGTCAACCAAGTGAGAGAGAATAGAACTTTTAATCACTTTTACCTGTCCTTTGTTTAACCACGACGGATGATGTTCAGTAATGCGATGACAGACTTGCCGAATTGTACGCCCAATATAACTGGCTCCACAGGAGCAGTTGAAACGATAGATACACATAGATTTGGCATAGTGTCAAGGATTCCTTTGAATTTGTTGAGAACATAAAAAATCTATCAGTCAAGAATAATTTCATGTTATCACTTGATGTATCATCTTTATTCACTAACATTCCATTACAAGAAACAGTTGATTTTATTTGTAATGAACTAACAGAGAGACGTATAGAAACCCCGATTCCAGCATCCGTGATAAAACAGTTAATTCTCAGATGCACAATGAATGCACAATTCAGATTTGACAACGAATACTATAGACAGCTAGATGGAGTTGCCATGGGATCACCATTGGGCCCTCTACTGGCTGATATTTTCCTTGCAAAACTGGAAAACGGACCACTTAAAAGCATAATTAGCCATCTACCAACTCATTATCGCTATATAGACGACACCTTCATAGTACTAGAAAAAGAGAATGATAAGGACAATTTACTTAATACATTTAATAACGTTCATCCATCAATTAATTTTACATCAGAAGATGAACAGAACGACAGCATATCATTTCTAGATGTCCAGCTAAAAAGAAGAGCAGACGGAACTTTAAAAAGAGGGGTACACATAAAATCTTCAACAGGACAATACACTCATTTCTATAGTGCAGTTCCAATCAGATACAAAAGGAACTTGATAAAAATCTTGACACATCGGGCTACAATGATTTGCTCTGAAGACACCATCGAAGAAGAATTGAATAGTATTCGGAACCTACTTAGTATGAATGGGTATCCCATGAAATTCATCGACAAACATATGATGAAGAAGAAAACAAGGACAAAGATACCCACCGTCCATAAGAAGGTACTATTCATAAAACTACAATTCATAAATGACACCATTGAAGAAACCTTAACTCAGAAACTAAGAAAAGCCGTACAAAAAACATTTAATGCTGCCAGATTAAATGCAATCTTCTACAACTATCCTAAGATAAGAACAGCCAACAAAGACACACTGCCTGAATTCGCCAAATCTATGTGTATCTATCGTTTCAACTGCTCCTGTGGAGCCAGTTATATTGGGCGTACAATTCGGCAAGTCTGTCATCGCATTACTGAACATCATCCGTCGTGGTTAAACAAAGGACAGGTAAAAGTGATTAAAAGTTCTATTCTCTCTCACTTGGTTGACACAGGTCATCAAGTCGAATTGAATAAAGCTTTTAAGGTTATCTACAATATCCCATCTAATTTGCCACATGGTTTACGAGTGCGCCTCTTGCACATTGCGGAAGCCATCGCAATCCATGTTCACAAACCTGACCTTTGCATACAAAAGAGATTCGTACAACCACTTTCCCTGCCCTGGCCATCAGTTTAAGATTTCCTTCAAAAGAACTATTTTTCATACTTCTTCCATTTTTTTTTAATTTTTTAAAACTTTTGTAATTTTTTGTAATTTTTTAAACTTTTGTAATTTTATTTCTGTTGCTTTTGAACTTAATAACTTCTCAACATTCATCTCTTGATTCTTACGTAACTACCATCCTATTGACCATCCGTTAAAATTCTGTTCCTTCTTTGTTTCTTACATTACGCAACTTAGCAACTTCTTGATCACTTTGAATATTAATAATCCTCTTTCTTCCAATTAATTAATGTTAATTTAAATGTCATTATGTAATTATTACGTAACGTATCCACTCGATGAGTATTATATTATTATTGTAAAACGTATATATATTAGTGTAGAGCCATGATGAAAAACTAATTGAAAAGAAATTTCTTCGCTCAATTCGTTGCTTCTTTATTTACCAAATGGCAAAATGGGAATTTTCACTTCAATAATAGTAATATATAAAAGAAAGATTGTATATAAGGATATAATACAGGAATAAACAATTAGTTGGTAGAAAGAAAAGCTTAAAGTAATTTCAATCTCACGGTCTACGTGAAGACAAAGAGTGTATATACCTACGCCATTGTGATCGATTTTGAGCCATGTCACTCAGAGCCTCCAACCATTGGATGCGATAACCGCGCGGACCCCAACCAACATGACTAAGAATAGAAGAGAGAGAGTCGGACATTCTTTTTTTCCTATCAATTTCGTAAACAACACCTCAGTCGAGAGAAGGCAGTGAGTAGGACTTCTCTGACAATTGCTGTATACGCGTGTCCATGTGAGCGTATTTTGAAAGGGAGAACTGACTCTTCCCACCCTCAACCATGCCAGGGAATTCGGGAGCCTCTGCGATAAGCATTCATAATTTCAGGTATTTGAATGAAAACTTTGCTTGACCTAGGTCTCGTACTAGTCAGTAGTTGTCAACAGCAAAGCGTACCTACAATTTTTAGGGAACTAATGCTTTATACAGAGCTCAAAGCCGAGTTACATGGTTTCACAATCTGAGATGTTATCACTGACCAACTCGGGAGACCACAGTCCACTTGTGTAATTGAGATATTTGCAAATGATTGATGTAATATGGGAATGATTATGGCATTAGCATAAAGGAAGATGAATAAGGTATTTTGAAACTTTAAAACAGCTTAGGTAAAGTTGGACACAATACCGAATTTCGAATACATATTAGAGGGCTTTTAAGAACACTTCAGAGTTCATTTGTTGGAGATTATATTAGCGTGTTAATAGGAGAGGAGTGAGTATTTTTGTCGGTGTATTATTTATGTTTATCAATCACGTTATAAAGCTATTATGTAACAGGAAGTATGGATAGACGATTATTCTAAAACTACTTGAGGTTTAATAATTAGGAGATCGTTAAATAACATATGTAGTTACCGGTATAACACCCGAATAAGCTTTACTCACCGTAAATAACTAAGCTTATGAAAATTCTTCCTTGTGAATACAGATATGTTCCAGTAAAGTTCAATAGACACAAAACAGAAGATGATGATATAAGATAAATGTCAAAAATTAATTCTACCTTTATGACTAATATATCCACTGATACATAGAATCGTACAACTGATTTATAAGAATGAGCCATTGAAAAAAATTAAGCATACAACAACTTTGAAATGAAAACTATTGGATGATAACTGAATGGTCTAAATGTAACGACGTACACTCTCTGGGCAGCATCATAGATACATAACGATGAGAAATCTCATACTAGTTATAGATCAATGTCGAATGCCGTTTGATTTTCAATATCTAAAGATAATTAATTCATAACATAAACTATCTTTTCAAAATGAAGATTTAGAAAATAATTTAACAATGATATATAACAGTTTATCAGTATAGGGTTGTGAAGATTATTAAGTTTTTGACTGAGATGATGAACCGATTGATGTTAGACCACCATTGAAAACCTGGAAGTACCGGACGGTTGTTTCGTCCTATTGTGGGACTCCTTAACAGTGCGTATCCATGATCTCGCTCGCAGGATTCGAGCGAGGTTTTCAATGGTGATCTAACATCAATCAGTTCGTGATCTCAATCATATAACAATTTAGATTATATCTCAAAGTATACTATTTACTTACCAATACTTCCGGTAATACTATGATTGTACGAAATTCACGTCGTACAGAAGCTAGACGATTTTCTAATGTTAATTTAACTTTATCATCACAATTATCATTATTGTTAACGGTAACATTTCCATCACTAATCATCTTGTTATTTTGATCATTATCATTAACTATTTCATCAACATCATCATTATTATGATCCAATTTTGTTATCATTTTAAGACGATCACGTATCACACTTAATTCAGTTATTAATAATTCTATTAACCAAATTGCTAATAAAATTATTTGACCTGATAAATTGACTACTGATTGTTTATTGATATTACTTATTATTTGATTATTCTGTTCTATTAAATAATCTAATTTTGATGATAAAAATATTTTCAATGGTGTCAATGTACTACTATATGAATGGATTGATGTTATGAATGATTTACATTGTTTTATAGATGAATCAATTAGTCCTGTTAGTTTGTCATTGATTGGATATTGTTGTTTTGATTGAATAATTAATGCTTCCATAATATCATGATCATCATTAATTTCATAACCTTGTTGAATTAATGTAGATGGTATAATGGTTGATGAAAGATCTATTGTATGTGTTGTTGTTGTTGATGATGATGATGATAAACGAAAAAAACGTAATGCAATTTGTTCAAATGGTATAGAACTACGAGCAAATAATTTAGCTGCAAGTCCATAACTATTATTGAGAAGAGAAAAAGAGATAAACGACTGAAAATTAATTCAAAACGATAAGTTTTTTCCTAAAAGTTTTACTTAATATGAACTATTGTCGACATGATTACATAGATAGATGCTTTCGAAGTATTGTTTATGTTATGATGGAATCATTGAGTTAGCAATGCTAAGGTTAGACTGAGGGTGATAAATAACTTAATGAGGTAGTGAATCTTCATCGATGGAGGTGGTTTGGACAAAGATTACGTATACTCAACCACTGGGTGCCTTGACTCGATATAGTAGTTTGTGATGACAGTGAGATCAGTTTGTGAAGTCTTTGACTGTTGGACTGAGCAGTCTAGCTATATTCAAACTACATCAGATTCAGCACGATTACCCGACTGTTGCTGCTACCTTTACGTGGTGGTCCTGCTTGCCTATCGTAATGAACCAACAGAGTTTTGCTGGCTGGAACAATCTTTTTTCAAGGCCCTACCACGACAGACAGGTCGGTTCAAGAACGGTAGAACTAAAAGCAGCAAACCCAAGGTATGAGGGCGAAGTCGTACTGCTGACTGTACAGAAGTGTGACAGCAGTAAGGTGTTTCCTTCAGACAACCAACATAACGGCAATCTTGTTGCCCCACAAGAAGGGGTGAGATTAGAAAAGATCGACCCTAAAAATGCACACCTCGTCTTAATTCTATGGATCTCCGTCTGCAGCAGTAAAGGCCCAACAAGCACGGAGCTAGAACGAAAACTACCCACAAAAGTTCGTGTGTGACCGACCTCAAGCAGTTGTCCCTTGGGCACTGCGTTCACGCTCTCAAGTCACTAAGACCAATTCTAACCCAATTTCCTTTTTAGGTACTTCCAGAAGAACCCTTCCACAGTATGGGCATCCGGAAAGTGACAACAACCCTCATACTCTTAGCAGCACTCAAGACCACCGCATTCATAAGCAATATCCCGCTGAGCTCTAGCTCAGAGAACAAAACTCCAACAAACTTATCCACCTGAGCTACAAATCTTCTCTACCTCAAGTGGTGTCCGTCTAGGCTGTCCAATATCTCCAATTTTGTCCAACTTCATCATAGACATACTGATGGAAATAACGTTCTCGAATTTTTTAGGAAGTGATCTCCTACCAGGAGGTCCACTTACGGACTTAGAATACGCAGATGATATAGTCCTGTTTGGTGAAAACGCTGATAAAATACAGTCTTCTGGTACTCGTAAGTTACCAGTATTTGACCACAGATGCCTTAGAAATGTTGCTCGCATCTACCTGGGTCACCGGGTAGGTAATAGTGAGGTTAGACGCAGGGTAATAAGGAACGATGGTAAATCAGTTGATGAGGTTATTGTTATTCACCGACTGAGATGGTTGGATCACTTGTTACGTATGTTTGAACATCGATTACCACGAAGTACAATGCTGACTGTTGTTGGGAATGGTTGCAAGAAAGTTAGGGGCGATCAAACCAAAACGTGACATCAGCCCTTAAAACCACGGTTATCATACCCAATAGTTGAAGGCTTTGGGTGAAATGGCTCAAAATCGATCACAGTGACTTAGGTATATACACTCTCTGTCTTCACTTAAACTCGGAGATTGAAATTACTTTAAGCTTTTCTTTCTACCAACTAATTGTTTATTCCTGTATTATATCCTTATATACAATCTTTCTTTTATATATTACTATTATTGAAGTAACTAATTCTATGAATTTGGTGATGTTTTTGTGTTAATGAGATGTGGAAACTAGGATCGATGCATATATGTGCCTGGTCCTACGTTGTAGCCGACTGACAGATTCAGTGCGATTAACGAAACTGATGGTAGAGACGTTGGGTGACCGGGATCAGAATTCATCTCAATAACTTGAATGCATCCACTTTTTCGTCATCCCCTTGATCTTCAGTTTTGAAATTATCTCATAATTTTTATTCCGCGAATTCATTCTTTGTTCTCAAATCATATTACATTTATCTAGTTTTTTTTCAACTGTCACTGATATTGTTATTAATTCTACTACATTGGCATTTATCTCAACAACTGTGCTGATATGATCTGGCAACTTGGACAAGTGCACATATAAGAACTGAAGTTTTAGAATTAATACCACAGTATTTTTTTTCCATTTTAGAATGTTATTGAATATTTTGCAAGGATGATTTAAATCAGTGAATTAAAAGCTAGAAGCACATAACTTTCAATCAATTGGGTTAGTAGATTGGAATCCCGCTTCTCCATCTATTTAGATTTAGACAGGTAGGTAATAGTTTCACTGCCACTCATATCTAAACATTATCTCAAAACCGATTAAATAAGCTTGTATTTAATGAGTTTTTTTTTCTTAAAATTATTATTTATTCGAATACTACAAGATACAAAATTGGTTTAAAATTATGCAAAATTTTGTATGATGAACAGATATTAACCACTTTAAAATCATTTCCGTGGAAAACAATCTGATACTCTGTATGTTCATCGATTCAATTTTTGTCCAACTCTTGTTTAATTTTTTTCCAATCAGAAGCAATAACATTATTAAGCGTAGAAAGTGAACGGAACTTTATAGCAATAAACTATATTCTATGCAATCGCATAGATGAGTGGTCATTACAAGCCTCCAATTACATATTAGAATATTCAAGTACGAAAACGTAGGTGTTAAGGATGGGAACTGTAAATAAACTCAGCATAGTGACAGTATATTAGGTATCCTGTTTTCTTTTTTGTAATAATGTAGGAGACCATAGTTTCAAAAATCAATGAGAATAAATAATTGTTGAATGTGGGACAAAAAAATGAGTTTACAAGTAAAATTATACTTACTTTTCATTATCAAAATTATATTCCGCTTCACGTATATTGATGGTATCCATTTGACCAGGATCCTTTTTTTATGCGTGGAACAAGAAGAAATAAAAGATTAATTAATAAATACGATCAAGATGATAAGATAACAACAATGAGGTAATATTACCTATTCTAATTAAATAGGATAAAACTGCAAATTATAAGGAATAAGATGATGGTTGGAGGTAGCTGTCAGGAGACCCTAGACTTAGATTTCGTCCTATATGGTACTCACCAACAAGGTGTACATGTAATTTTGGGGGAACTAGTGCTACTTGATGCATTCGGTCTTATGTCACCCAGCTTCAATCTCAGAGACGTAAACACTAAGGTATCCGCGGGCCACGACTGACCGCCTGTAGGACTAAAATGTATTTACGATTGACCAATGTCATTTATTACAAGTCCTTCTAAGTTATGAAGACGGTCCAAGGGTGAACCCACAGAGGCTCAGGAAGAGCCGGAGACATTCCATCTAATCATCTTTTGGAAGAACATTCTACAGTCTCGACATGTAGCTCTCCTAATAGACAAATGCTAAAACCCACTGTATGCGGATTGAATGGCTCTAATGACGATTTCGTTTTTACTAAAAACTATAAATACCTGAGAGTTTTGTGCTATATTTGACACTGTTTGGAAAAACATTCCTCCTCATTCGTCTTCTGTTTTCTCATTTGAGACTTGGAGGGTTCTGACGTTCGAGTGCTCAAGTACTACGAGGTATATGAACAATCTAAACTCTAAAGATAACAAAGTTTTGATTGAATTCCATTGATCAAGTCACTAAGAGAGATGAGACAGAACTGATTTGCAACATTGACTGAGATTTAATAGTTGTTCTATCTGATGAAAAAAAGATGAGATGAGATACCCTCGTTTAGTCAACACACTCGAAATCTAACTCGTATATAAAATAATAAGTTATTGATGATTTCCGTGCTTAGTTTCGAATATTAAAACAGATGTAGACTGACCAAACATATCATGATTGTTCTTGTTGTCACTTAACACAAAACTCAACTTATTTTCCAGGTAGAAGTTTGTCTTCTTGACTTTGAGATAATCTAAGTATGAGGGCTAGTGAGGCTACACGGTTGGCCAAGTGGAAGGAGGTAGGACGATGTTCAAATATGAGAATAAATAGTGTAATGTCGAACTACTGCTCAGATGGCGCACAAACGTTAGATAGTAAAATGTCCATAATTTAAGGGTATTAGACACTCATATCGTTTCTAGCAAGATAAAAATGCCGTTTAGACTTGGGAAAAGCTGAATTAATGTTCAGTTTTCCTGAACCATTAGAATATTCTTTTCATAATGACCATACTATCATCAGTGACTACACTAGTTTAGTTAAACTCTATTTCCGTATATCGCTTAAAAAACACAGGTTTTAATCTATGACAGATTTATTTTATTATCTGCAGATAACGCAAGTTTATTGACCAACAAACATGGAACCTAGACGAAATAAAATATCTTATCAGTTGACTTTCTTACGACAGTGACTCATGGGATCAGAACACCTTAAAGTGTCGACATTTGATAATAAGGCAAACAGTTTAGCAGATAGACTGATGAGATGATAGATTTTTAACATACTTCATCTATTTACAAGTCGTTCCCGACTAAAGACCTTTTTTGTTAGGGAAAACTGAAACATGTTTTGAACAGAATGTTATACGGACTACAACACATTGAATATTACTCACACTCTTATTATTTAACATTCTTACAAGGTTCTTTTCTACGGGATGGAGTTGTTAACCACATGCTCGACCCTTCTCATTATCCGGGCCTCGAACTGGCAGTAAACTTAAAAGTGCCGCGTGCGGGGAGAGGGCAGCATTCCTGCAATTAAAGAACATATGGAACTCAAAACAACTGTCGGCCAACACCAAATTCAGGAGTTTCAATACAAACGTCAAGAAAGTTAGTTCCATTCTACAGAGATGAAACTTGAAGAACTACTGTAGTGAAAAGAACACGAGTGGGGACAATCGAATGTATTTAACACAACAATTACAGACTATCTCAATAAAATCTGAATACCATATAGTAAATTGTCAATTTGCAAAATATTCATGCATCAAATCCAACTGGACTGTTTCTGTTGCAAACACCAATCCATTGTCTCCCATTCCATTGTTCATGCGTTTTCTCACAAATTCCATTGTGTTCTCGCTCTTCCTTTCTTGATCTTCCCCATTTTCTGCTGCCATACATCACGTTCTTTTAACTCACGTTATATACTACTCATATCAATAAAAGTAGCTCACACCACACTACTACAACCATCATCAAAAACCTACAGGTACTTATAAACAATAGTCTACGCAAGATACTCCAAATCCGTTGGCCGGACACTATCAACGACAACCTACTGTAGTAAAGAACAAACCAACTTACATCTGAAGAGGAAATTAGGAGAACACACTGGAGGTGGATAGGATATACATTTCAGAAAACACAGACTGCATCACGAGGCAATCTCTAACTCAGAATCATGGAGGTGAGAGGAAGAGAGGCAGACAAAGAACATATCGCGCCGAATATTGGAGGCAGATAACAAACGAATGAATACCACTTGGGAATAACATGAAAGGTGAGCCCAAGATAGAGCTAGTTGGGGAATAGTGGGCAGTGGCCTATGCTGCACGAGGGGCGATAAGCGTCAATAAGTTAAATTATTTCATGAGGTAACATACCTGACAAAATTGGCGCGCTTCATCAAACTGTAGACGATCCAAATAGATTTGCCATATTCTACATAATTCATTCTTCATATTTAATCGAGCCAAATGATTATTGCTGAATATCCAAATATGATTAGATAATGAGTCACGCGATATACCTAAAGCCCGTTCACAGCCAATGATATTATTTAACGGCATTGAATAAACTGCTCGACCATCTAAAGTATTCACAGCTTTAATGCGATCCACATAGATAATGATAAGATGAAATTCTGTCAAACAAATGCCTAGTGGTACACCAGGTCGTTCAAGCATATGAATAATTGGATACGGGATAAGTTTTGTATTTCGCGTTAAATTAACACCACGACCAGAGAATATATCTTTCGGTCGATTCGGATCATCTGTATTATCAGTGGCAGTAGGTAGAAGGGAAACAACTTCATTTGGAAATGATTTTACATCAATTGGTTGATCATTTGTTGAAAGTTTTGTAAATGGAGGCATACTTAATTGTTCTGTTCTTATGTAACCGAAGTAAACACCTGGACCTGGAATTTTACAATCAAGAATAAAGAGATTTTAAAAAGGAATTTGTTATTGTAGTCAAAAATAACATAAACGTATTTATCACATACACAACAATATTATCAGCTTTGAGTTACATCATTTGCGTACATCATAGTAGTGTGGTGTATGCTACTAATGTCGAGAGATATCAGTAGTATGTGACATCAATCAAAAGTTAAATAGCTGGCAGTAGAAGGCCAAGAAGATCCTGTTGAAAGCAGAAATGAAAGTAGAAATGAATTTTGAACTGGAAGAACATTACAGAGTGTGAAGGACAAATGATGGGAATTCGCAAATGAAGTATTCAATGTATGTTTCGCATATTTAACCAAGGTATTTTGTAATTTCGTATTAAAATACGTTGGTTGACCCCACCTGTGTTCATGTTCATTACAGTAGCACTAACTACCAATTGTTCAGATTAAAGTGGCTGCGAGGAGATAATTAGAACTGTTACCCGTTGATTAAAAGCCGTTACATGCATGTATATTGAGAATAGCGTGATAAAGAAAAAATTGCATCATAATTTTTACCTTAAGTACGACATAACTAACTAACAATTATTCAAGAAATCCAGATAACTCGAGATTATATCAACAGATAAGTATCACACGTGTATGAAAAAGACGGCCAACCTCAGTGCAGTATGTTTACGAAAGCAGCGGTGGGTTGGAAAAGGAGCTAAAAATAACCATAGCCATTTAGACATTAAAATTAATAGGCCAAATTATTGATTGTTAGTTTGAGTAGAGTAGGAAAGCGTAAATTTCTTGGATAAAATATACAGGATAAATGTGATTCATTTTTGGATATTAAATTATACACTAGAAAATTCGACACTACAGATAAGCTTATCTCATAATCTTCTCAAGACTAGATATTCCATCATTCTATGACTTCATAAATAAATCAAATAACATTTAATGAAACATATGTGTATGCAATTGAAGTCATCATTGTTTCAAAACGAACTATGTTCACTTGAGTAGTAGGTTGAAGAAGAAAAATAGAGGCCAAACCAAGGCATGGTATCAGTTTATAAAGCCATTAACTGTTGAACTAAGTCGTATTGGTGGATGCGGACTACCTGGTTGCGGTCCATGTGATACTTCAGATTAATATTTCAAAATATTAGGTCACATGGCTTACAATCAGTCAAAGTGGTGCAAATGTATTCAATCTGTATCGTCTCCTCAGACTTGAAATTAAATATAATTTCGTATTACTTATCTCTGGAATCTATAACTCTTTTTCGAACTGTATATTAAAGAGTTTAATCACTTTTACTACCACTGATGCTGTAACCTCGACTAATTTTGTTATTGATCTCAATATGTAAGTAGATAACGCGCTGACGTTTAAGGTAAAAGGTACTGACTTCAAGTTCCAGAGTAAGCATAGACTCAGCATTGCAAATTTATCCAGCTGAGAAGTTCCAAATAGGATGAAACACGCGTTCCCAACTTAGCTTTTATAGTTTCGTATAAAAATTGCCTAGGATAAACAATTAAGTTTGTTGAAGCCTTAACCATAAAAAGACTCGAACCCTTTTTACCATGCTTGAAAACAATTTGTTTTTACTTTGAGTTTGCTTTGGTAATATCAATTTATGATCCACAATAGTGCACTTCATATTATCTTTATCTTTTTCATATTCAAATTTGTCTCAATCTTTTATTTTTTTAAGTAGAAATACCTTAACAAGTGAATATGCAATCAGATTGCTTGAAATGTATTGGGCTAATAGTATACCATACTAAATCAGATAAAATTCATCATCTCATAGCATTGTCAAAGTATAATTGAGATGAATAATTTGGAATGCATTAATACAAATAGAATATATTCACTGGTTTTAATTTGAGATACAACTATATTAAACAAATAGGATAACCCTAACCTGTCATCCAAGCAAATTTACTAGGGAGTTCATCTTTTACATTACGATAAAGTTTTAAATCACTATATCCAAAACTTCCGGGAAATTCAGTAACTTTGGATCCTAGACAAATTGAAAGAAAATTAAACAACAAGTTATTGATTAATGTACTCATTCGAATAATATGAAATCTGTGCAACAAAATACTTATTACATCATCATAACTTTCAGTAGTTTAAAATGTTGTATGCCAATATTTTTAAGGCTACAATACAAAATATGGGCTGTTGAAATTACTACGATCCGTGAAATTCTATTAAACTAAACGCTTCCCAAATGTTTGATCAACCAGTAATGCAACTGAGAAATGACTAGGAGTCTGTGAATGATAGAAATGAATGATTACGAACATGAATAGTCGCTACATATGCATCTGTCCTTCTGATTCGGAAAAAAACATGTAAGCTGAAACCTTATTTATTTATTTGAACATATAGATATTGGTACAAACGGGCACCGAATACATATGTGCCATACAAGTTACTTGATTTGTATGTGGGTTGTGAAACTGCCTGAGTGCCCAGACCGACGCAGTTGACTTTCTTAGGGGGCCACAACCGGAGCCTTCAACCTAAAGGTATGATCCACAAGGTAATGGAGTAACGTGAGTAGATGCAGTCCTATGGTAGCCGGTGGCCAATAATTGGTTCATACGCCATTTGTTCCTTAAGGATACTGGAGCCCGTGTACACCATTGGCTTGGAATTGTGGTTTTCCAACTCCCTTGGGGGAAACTCCGTGTCCACCAACCCTGTTAAAGTGTCGGAAATTCGCTTTTCGTCCTCTCAATTTTCTAAAGAACACCTCCGTCAAGAGAAGGCAGTGAGTAGAACTTCCCTGGCACTTGCTTTATACGCGTGTCCATGCGAGCATATTTCGAGAGGGAGAGCTGACTCTACCCTCCCTCGACCATACCAGGGCATTTGGGGTGAAATTTATTAGAATAAATTGAACTGTGAATGTTTGATTCTCATAAGAAGATTACTTAATGAATTCGTCTAAGTAATTGCTGATTTGTGTTAGATTTAATGATTTTTTTAAATGATTCCCTACCAGTTCAATTTAGTAATAATGTACATTAATTGATGAATTCTCGGCCAGCTTAGAGAATAAGACTAAAATTGCTTAGGAAGCCTTAATTTCACAGGCTAAGTAAATATGTGTGGTTTTATCTGTGCTTTTACACAAATCAATTTCGTCACTATGCAAAAGAGATTAGTCCTAAAACTTCTACAATTAAAACCTCGATTAGTGAAACAGTGATCAAACATGTAACTCTGTAGTTCAGAGTTCAGTGCCTAAACTATTAAATTACAGCCTGAAAACTGATAATTTACTTTAGAAGCATCACTTAAACATCTTTAACTGATTTAAACAGACATAATTGTGTTCTATTGTAGTGACGTGTGGTGTCCGAAATCTGATGCTGACACACGGTGTGCTACGAGCTAACCCCCAAATGACTACTTGAGCGGGAACACAAGAGTGGGCGAGAAAGTGTATTGAGCTACCAAAAAATGCACAAATATCCATATATATATACCAGTCAATCTTAAAGAAATCGACCCATTTTAACCCCAATGGAACGCACTTGATCTTTATGTCGGTTCTGAATGCTGTCGATCGGCCTTTTCATTAGGCTACTTCTGATTAGCACACCATATGAACTATCTCCTACGGAGGTATTAAAATGGAGCATATTCAGTTACCTTTCTGGTTACAACTCATCCTCCACATCGACCAAGTTTCTATTAACTCTTGTGTTTACAGAAATTCAAAATAAAGAATAACGGTTATTGGGCTCCTGCTGAAGCGACGTTAAGAAATTTAGCTGGTAGATACAGAATCTAATACTAAATGGAATACACAAAAGTCTTGTAAAATGACTGTGTCCCCATCAATCACATTTAATACTAAGATGCTAAACAGGACATGATGTGATGCGATTTGTAATGAGATTTATCTATTTCATTCTCTCACCAAGGTATTAAGGAGTGGAATATTAAAGATGATAGCAACGAAGAGGAAGCGCCTTACAACTCAAACAACTAAGTACAAACTAGAAACAAACTTTCTAGTTCGCAAAAATTATGGTGATTCCAGACAGTAAATCTGACTACTAGAATGTAGCAGATGTTGTTGCGAAATAAACAGATACAAAACTCTAATTTTGTTTCTAAGCAATATATATCAAACTAACTGAAATTTAAAACAACAGCGATACGAAGAAAACAACTTACCAACAGGTAGTTTATCATCTGAGTTGAATACACTAGAGAATAGTCCAGTGATAATGGGAAATATAGTTGTATTTTGTATCCCAACAGATTGTTGTTGATTATATTCATTCACTAAACTAGACCTATGACCTCCAGTATAAGCATTTATTGCATTGGATATACCGGATGTAGCAGTATTTGCTGCTAGATGAGATAAAATTGAACCGGTTGTTGAACTGTTAGTATTTATCCATCCAGCGAATTGATACATACGACAAGGTGTTGTAGCAAAGACTACACATCGTTGCGGTTCACCAACTAGTACATTAGGCGAACCAATAGGAAAGCGAATCACTTCTACACCTGTTACACTATGTCCTAAATTAATCATCTAGGTGAAAGAAGTTGAATTGAATAGAAAAATATTATAAATATAGTTAGATGATATAAATTAGATATATTCATTTAATAAAAGCATCACTTATAAAATGTAACATATGGTCTAGAACCATTCAATTACGAATCAAAAATCAATAAATCCTTGATTTAAAGAAAATGTGTGCCACAAGAAAGAGTAATCAACCTCAATGTAAATTAAATTAAACTGTCGTTATAACTTATGATTGTCTTGAACAAAAATAATAGGATACATTTTACGGAAACATATGAATCCACCAGACCTTAAAGCCTTTGGACATTTACACAGATATAAGCAATAAATAAGTAACACAATAAAGGTTTAAACAGTTTTCATACTGAATACTTGCCACATTTGAATTACATGAGGTCTGTAAGAGTACCAACCATTACACCAACAATCCAACTAACTAAATAAGATGAATACAGAACTAAGAAAAGTAGTACAAGGAGCCCCCCAATGCCCTGGTATGCCCGAGGGTGAAGTGGGCCCGCCCTCCCTCTCGAAATACTTTCACACGGCCACGCGTATACAACCTCTGCCAAGGAAGTCCTACTCACTGCCTTCTCGTGGCGGGGGTGTCGTTTACGAAAATGAGAGAACGAAAAGCGAATGTCCGGCACTTTAACTGGATCCCAAACCAATGGTGCACATGGGCTCCAGTATCCTGTGGGAACAAATGGCGTATGAACCAATCGTTGGCCACCGGCTTCCATGGGACTGCAGCTCCTATCGATGCTCAAGGGCCCTGTGGGTCAGACCTTTAGGTCAAGGGCTCGGGGTGTGGCCCTCTAAGAAAACCACCTGCCTCGGTCTGGGCACCCGGGCAGTATCACAGCCCCCACACAAATAAAGTGAAAATGACGATATTTACTGAAATTTCTATTCATGCTTCGATTAATAGTCAAACAATTCACATTATTATCATTATTATTATTTATTATTATTATTATTATTATTATTATTATTATTATTATTTACCACGTTACTTATTCACTCTCTTTTATTCCCACCTTATATATCCTTATTTTTCGACTTATACAGCAGCTCGCTTTGCCTGCCCCTAGCTTTCTTTCAGCCTACTCGCATACCATCGAACATTGCGCGTCGACGTAAGCAAGGCGTTCCCTTTGATTTTCGCGGAGTGTCGTTCTCTGAGCTAGATGTTTTGGACGTGAAGCTTTCATTGTTCTTCTTAATACCATCAGCACGAACTATAGGCAGAAGTTTCTTTTATATTTCGGCATTCCCACAGACACATGACAGTCGAAAGCAGATTTGCAATTATTAGTCATTGTATATCAACCTAAATGTCTAAACGCTACGCCCTTGTCGCAAGACCTGAAGGTCTTGGGTTCTACTAGTGGGTGGTCGTCGGGGTGTATTGCCAAGAAGCTCTACACTGAGGCGAAATACACATCCACTACATCCTGGTTTGCAATGGCTATCTTGCTAAATCTTATTTGTGATGCAAAACACAAACTGAAAGTACAGTACTTCAATTATTAGGCCACAGCTTTACAAGCCAATTTACTTATCAAAAATTTGGACGATCATAAACAGTAAAAAAGTAAAATGTTCATCTTGCCTGGATCCAATACTGTTCAATAGTTCCCGAACTAAAAAAGCTATCTTCATTAAACATAAGCATTGTTTCAAATATTAGTCCATCATTTGTACCGATTAAAATTTCTTGTGTAGATAATTCATTAACATTATGATGATTCCAAGCTATAGAGTCAAACAAATGATCCTAAAATACAAAATCGAACGGTAAATAAATATATTGGATAAAACGTTGAAAAGATGGGATTTCGTTAGTAACTCTATACAAATTAGCGTGAGTTACACAAGACTTCTGAAGCTAACTAGAAGATTGATGAAAAAACCATACCGGATTAATAGTAAATTAAGAGTGATCACGTGGCTCATGACCGGAATTATAGTTGCTAATTTTTAGATAAAGTTTTTCAGCATCCTACTTAGCCTGTTCGTTTTGACCTTTTGCTAACGTTAATATTACTTTTCATAAACCTTTAGAAAAAATACTTTGTTAGTTTAATTTTGTTAATACTAAAAACTCTCAAAGCCTATAAAAGAACCCGACGTTCCTAGGTTTTCAAGTTATTTATCAGGTACTTGGCGTTGACCTCCACTTTGTCTGTGGCTACTGGTACTACCTAGTTGCACAAGCAGTAGGTGGAGTGAGGTTGGAACCTACAACCAAGTGCCTAGAATTCGACACAAATAACCACTAAACCACAGTTCCATTATTTTTAGATCATTTACTCATTATCAATCTATTACTTTACATATACATTTTACAGTCGATTTTATTACCAGAGGTGAATTTCCCTGTAAGTGAACATAAACATTCTATGCTAAGTGCATTTTCCTTCAGAGCCACAAACGACAAAAAGGAAGGTCTCGACAACAACATTTCCGGAGACTTTCGCACCAAGTTTTTGTTTTTATTTTATTTTTATTTTAACACATAGATATTGGTACAATGAGGCACCAAATACATATGCGCCACACAAATCTCACTCGATATGTGTGAGGGCTGTGATACTGCCCGGGTGCCCAGACCGAGGCAGGTGGTTTTCTTAGAGGGCCACACCCCGAGCCCTTGACCTAAAGGTCTGACCCACAGGGCCCTTGAGCATCGATAGGAGCTGCAGTCCCATGGAAGCCGGTGGCCAACGATTGGTTCATACGCCATTTGTTCCCACAGGATACTGGAGCCCATGTGCACCATTGGTTTGGGATCCAGTTAAAGTGCCGGACATTCGCTTTTCGTTCTCTCATTTTCGTAAACGACACCCCCGCCACGAGAAGGCAGTGAGTAGGACCTCCCTGGCAGAGGATTATCTAGTTTGATGTATGTTTGGTCCAGTTTCTGTCTGAATACACAAAGGATTACAGCAAAGCCAGATAAGTGGTTTTTATGCTAACATAAAAGTAGTGCGATTCGCGAAAAGTGGTAATTTTTAATAGTCATGCTAGAAAGTTTGGAAGAGAATTCAACTAACTCCAAACAAGAACATGTAAATAAAAACCTATGCGTTTTATTATATGATGTGTCGAAAAACGATAGTGAAACTTCCTGAGTAAAGTATAGTACATTGGTCTTGTTTAACTTTTTAGTGCGAAATAAATGAAATATTTTCATCAAATCAAATACGATATACAAACACTCACTTTTGTCTTGTTTAAAGGGCGAACCTTTTTCATACCTTTATTGATGTAGAAATTTGTGCCAGACTGCATACTTATTACAGTATGCCAACCCATAGGATCCAGAAAAATATTATGGACTCGGTCATCTGAAAGGCGGCTAATTTCAATTTCTAGATATAAATGGAAATGATGCCGAAAATTCCAGTTTCATAAAAAGAATTCTGCATGAAAGAATCATTAAATATGAGCAAACAGCAGAAACTAAATGGATATTTGTACTACGGTTCATTAAACAGTAGTGCAGAGCGAAAAACGATAATGTATTTATGTGAAATTATTGTTTCGAAAGACTAGCTTAAATTAAGCTATGAGTGCATAACAGGAGCATTTAATTATTATGTAAGTTTATGAGTGCTTGGTAATACCCTTAGTAAACATAATGATTTCAGTATTCTAATTTTAAATTTTCTTAAATTTCAGACTAATAATCGACCAAACATAGTGCTTGAAGTGATACCTTGTCAGAAATAAGTTCAAATAAATTAATAAACGAACCAAAGTAAATATATTTCAGTTTTCAATATGACTACCATTAATCTTCCCGTAGCAAACACAAAATCACGGAATAACATCGTCCATAAGAACTTTTTAGTGCTCCACGAGATATAAGAAAATATATTTTTTGATTTTAGACGATGAATCCACTTTACCTTACGGTCGTCGCTGTTTTGAAATCAGAGCACTTCCTTTATCAACTATAGGACCCTGAGAACTACGATGGAGAGACCAATAGCAAGTCATATGAGATACTTAGCTTTCGTCATATATATCGTTTAAAATAAAATTTTAAATATCCATGTTAGAACGGCTAGACAGAGTCATTAAGGACATGTATTATAACAATGTTAATCATGTATTGTGACGTTTCTTAGTATATATATAAATAAATATATATATACTAACAGCAGTTCTGCACTCTGAATGTGAATTAACCAGTTGGAGCCAGTGAGTCAGCCTACGCAAAAGAAAAGGTATCTTCTAGAAGAAACAACACAGAACAGTAATCAAATTATTTTTATCTCTTCATTGTAATCTATAACAATAAAGCTTTTTTAGAAGCATCAGCCAGACAGTTCGGAGACCAAAGCCTGTTCTTACACATAAAAGTCAACTAAGGTTTCCCAATAAAGATTAATTACATAGGCAAGGACAGGATAATTGTACACATAATCTCATAATTTGTAATATATTAGCACGGAACTGTGCAATACTGATTGAAGAATATAAATATCATTATGAATTTTGTGGACAATCAAAAATGTAGGGGTAAGATTTATGTGTGAATGAATATATGATAATGAAACAAACCAGATATATTGTAAGGAGGAACAGTAGACGTTCTTATTAGGGTGTTTTTTGAAGTAGCACCGACCAGATAATTGTTACAAACTTGCAGATTCGTTAAGGAATTCACTACTCTGTGAAAAAAATATACAATGAGTAAACTAAGAGAATGTACCTGAACCACTGCACTGAATCGAGTGTAAAAATCCCATCATGTGCGAAAAATTCAGCAGACTAAAAATGTTTTGAAATGTTAAACAAAGCTTTCAATTACAGATTGCTGTTCATCAATATTTAGTGTACCCTTCTGCATAATGTAGCGCAGTAACCAATTAAGGCGGTCTGGACTCTTTCAGCAGTTTGGATAGGAGGCCAGTCCACTTATATTAATTCTAGTAATTCATGGTTCTGTGACGATCCAGTCTCGCTGTTATTTTATCGACAGAAAGTGCTGATGGAGTATTTCAGTAGTTCGTTACTCCATGAGAGAAACGAAAATCCAATCTGTCTTCATACAATAGGCCAGTCAAACCTATCATCACTTCTTCCCTTTTCATTGGATTTGTTCTAAATTATCTGCCTCGCACTCGGAGCAGGGACTCGTCGCTTGAGTCCCATGTTTCCAAATGCAGCCTTTAAAAATCGAGTATAGTAACCCGAACATTTATTCATCCAAATAACGTAATACCCTTAGTTCTCAGGTAGTTGATTTTTAAGACACTTAGGTCTCTATAGTTCTTAACTCTAAATAACAGCATTTTACTTATGTAGTTATATGAATCATCGAAATTACTTATTCGCATCACTACATTATTACTAAAATAAACTTCAGATGACAGCGTATACATCCATTTAACCAGTAAATTTAGGTTGTCCTGCAATAATATACTATGTGATATACAGTGTTTAGGTCTACAGAAGGTTATGCGTTGCAAGAATATAACTATTTAACTCTGAATTCGACTTCGCCTGTAGCTTTTCTTGAGTTAATGCCGATCCCAAGCCCGGACAAAGAAGGAGGGTTGGACATGGGGATAGCGACCCCATCCCGTAGAAAACTAACTCGCTAAAAAACGCTAACCAGAAACAATTATTCGAACCTTTTAAACTCTGCCCCGGGAGTCAGAAGATGTTCATTTAGAAGAACTATGACGCCTCATGATGAAAGCCGAATTCCTTCGGAAGTTACGAGGCCGATGCCCCTTCTGACAACCAGAGCGACCTTTTATTTAGGTACATGGAATGTTCGTACAATGTGGGACATCGGAAGAGCCTTCCAAATCACTGCAGAAATGGGGAGTTACAACCTAGTGGTGCTTGGGATCAGTGAAACACATTGGACGCAAGTTGGACAACAACGACTAACTTCAGGAGAGCTCCTGTTATACTCCGGTCATGAAGAAGAAAATGCAACACATACACAAGGAGTTGCATTGATGCTGTCTAAACGAGCAAAAAATGCACTTATAGGATGGGAATCTCGGGGACCAAGGATCATCAGAGCCTCATTCAAAACAAAGAAAGAGGGTATTACAATGAACATTATAAAATGCTATGCGCATAACAACGATTACAATGAAGACGCTAAAGATCAATTCTACGATAGGCTGCAGTCAATCGTCGAAAAGTGACCAATAAAGGACCTGACTATTCTGATGGGAGATTTAAATGCCAAGGTTGGAACGAACAACACTGGATATGAAGACATCATGAGACGACACAGAATGGGAGAAAAGAACGAAAATGGAGAAAGGTTTGCAAATTTGTGTGCATTCGACAAATTGGTCATAGGAGGCACAATATTTCCACACAAGCGTATACACAAGATTACATGGATCTCACCGGACAACACTACAGAGAACCAAATAGATCATATTTGCATCACCAAAAAATTCCGAAGGACAATGGAAGATATGAGAACCAGGAGAGGTGCTGACTAAGCTTAAGATCACCACCTAGTTGTAGCCAATTTGAAACTGAAGCTATAAAAGAACTGGACAGCTGGATAGAAAGCACTACGAAGGTTCAAAACAGCCTTCCTTCGAGATACGGACAAACTCAGTGAATTCTCAACAACAGGTTCCAAGCCTTACAATATTTACTGAAGGAAGAAGAAACTACTATGGGGGACAACTGGAAAGTCATCAGAGAAGCATTAACTTCAACGTGTCAAGAGGTTTTGGGCCTAAAAAAACACCATCATAAAGAATGGATCTCTACAGAAACACTGAATAGGATCAAAGAAAAAAAGAACAGGAAGACATCAATTAACAACAGCCAAACACGAGCAGAGAAAGTCCAAGCACAAGCTGAATACATAGAAGCAAACAAGCAAGTGAAGAGGAGCATTAAAGCCAGCAAGAAGAAATACGTGGAAGAATTAGCAACGACGGCGGAAAAAGCTGCTAGAGAAGGAAATACGAAACACCTTCACGATACAACGAAGAAACTAGCAGGGAAATACAGTAAACCAGAGAGACCGGTCAAAGCCAAAGAAGGCAAGCCAATCACTGAAATTCAACAACAGCGGAACAGATGGGTAGAATACTTCGAGGAACTTTTGAATAGGCCGGCTCCAACGAATCCACCGGACATCGAAGCAGCACACACATATCTTTCTATAGATGTCGGTGGTGCACTGACCAAATTGCGACACTACGGATCATCGTTGAACAATCAGTTGGTGGAACTCGTCACTATACAACAATTTCATTGATTATGAAAAGGTGTTTGACAGTGTAGATGGGAGGACATCATGGAAACTTCTTCGACACTACGGAGTTCCTGAGAAGATTGTCAATATTATCCGAGACTCATACGACAGACTACAGTGCAAGGTCGTGCATGGAGGACAGCTGACAGATGCATTCCAAGTAAGGACTGGAGTCAGACGAGGCTATCTACTCTCTCCTTTCCTCTTTCTTCTGGTGGTCGACTGGATTATGAAGACCTCGAACGTCAAGACAGTCCTATTGTACTGAGCTGAAACTTGGAGAACTACAACAACCATCATCAAGAAGGTACAAGTATTTGTGAATAGTTGTCTATGCAAGATACTCAACATTCATTGGTCGGATACCATCAGCAACAGCTCTCTGTGGGAGAGAACAAACCAGCTTCCAGATGAAGAAGAAATTAAGAAAAGACGATCGAAGCAGATAGGACATACATTACGCAAATCATCAAACTCCATCACGAGGCAAGCCCTAACTTGGAATCCTGAAGGTAGGCGAAAAAGAGGAAATTCAAAGAACACATTACGTCAGGAAATAGAGTGAGATATGAAAAGGATGAATAACAACTGGGAGGAGCTTGAAGGGATAGCCCGGGACAGGTTTGGATGGAAAATGCTGATGATCGGCTTATGCTCCTTTACGAGGAGTAACGTAAGTAAGTGAGTAAGCTAAATCGAAATCTCCTGCAATGAGATCTGAAAAGCAGGAAAGATCTCTACTGAGTCTATATTGTTATCTGATTAAAAGATTATTTCCTACCGAACAATTCAGAAAAGACATCTGAATAACCTTTTCCACCAGTTTGGTGATCACAATTGTAAGACTAATAGGCGATGGTTACTAACTAGTTCTGTGATCCCCGTTTTACAAACCAGATTTATGATTGCATCATTTCAGTTTATTGACAGTTTAGACTGCCTAAGAGCATATAAAATACATTAACAGAGGTTTGAGAATTACATCTCCCAGAGCTTTCATGAGCATAGGATCGATATCGTTAGGACCAGTAGACCTATTACGTTTTACATTTTCAACAAATGTTATGGCAGACGTGTTCTCAATAACCAGATCCACCGATAACTTGCCATTATTGAGGTTAATCGTTGGTCCTTTGAAGTCGTCAGTAAATACATTTTACCAAAATATTTGTATGATGTATCAGCTTTGGCAACTTCATTTCTTGCCAACATCTTGTACCGGAAGTGACAGGACCATAACACCTATCTGAATCCGCTTATTCACATGAAAGAACAATTTTTTGAAACATTGCGCAATCAATCTTTTCTTGTACAAAAGGCTATTCCTACTTATCAACGCTAAGCACGCATTCTTAGTCTTTCAACAAATGTACTTTTCTTATAGAGACTAGAAGTATACTAATATGACGTAATAATTTACATGATTACATACGACTGTTACCCCTCATAGAGCAGTAAAGCTCGCTCATCAGCGTTCTCCATACAACCATGACCTAAGCAATCGTTTTCAATTAATTCCAATTCTTATTCATCCTTTTCATGTCTGCTTACGATTATCGATACATTGTGTTCTATGGTCTTCTTCTGATCAGTTTCCTTACAGGATTCCTAGTTAACGCTTGCATCGTCATGCAGTTTGTTGATTTCACAAATGTATGTCATATCCACTTACAATGACTTATCCTAATTTTCTCCTCAACTCCAACCTGGTTTCTTCTCTCCCACAGTAGAATGTCGCTTATGTTATCCGGTCAACGAACATTCAGTATCTTGTGTAGACAATTCTTTCGAAATATTTGTACATTATTGAGTATATTTGTGTTAGTATTCTAAGTTCAGCTGCACACAGTAGAACTGTTTTGATTTTCGAATTTTGATGGCACAGTAAGTCGACGGAGCTATAAAAGCTAACGCACAACAGACTCAACATTTTGACACAGATTGCAAAAAAGAAGAAAGTCGCACGGTGAACAGAACCACCGCCAGAACAACTGCTTTAAAGAATGGATGAGTGTGGTTTATGCTACTGATGTCAATAGACATAATCAGTATGTATCATCAATCAGAAATTAAATACCTGGAAGCAGAAAGTTCAGAAGATCGAACATAAGAGAAAGAGAACTGAGAGTAATTTACATCAAAAAGAAGAAACAGTTAAATCTGAGATAACTGTTTAACATTTTGCAAATGAAGTTTCTAGTGTATGGTTCTCAGATTTTATTAAAATTTGCTATATGTTCGTATTCAAATGTATTCGATTCGTTCTCGCTTGTATTCTCATTCACTATTAGTCTTTGTAGAAATTTAATTGAATTGAAAGTTTGTCATTATAAAATTGAACAATAAATCATCAAATTTAACCTAGTAACTATGACAACCAAATCATTTATACCATTTGAATATTAATCTAAAGAATCTAATTATTTATAATAATTAAATGAATTTTTCAGAATAATATTGTTTAAATATCATTAGTGAATTGTACAAATGTAGCATCAATAGTAGTGATAATGATAATAATTATTGCAAAATATGGAGAAATTCAATACATTGAACAAGACAATAATGAGCATTCTTTAGGTTTAATTAGTCTCACTGATTGCCATAATGACAATAATAAACTAGTAAACTTATTTTGTTTCTGTCTAATACAGACCATCTTGGTTGAATTGTGTTTGATATTGATAGAAATATTCAAAATTTGTAAATATTTTATTTTTGTTTCTAAATGACATTTTGTCGGTCGGTTATATCAAAGAGTTTTCGTACCATTTAGTTAAATGTTTTTATTGCAGAAACGAAGAAAACCAATGGCGTTTGAGGTGAACGGTCATGGGTTCGAGTCCTGGAGTGAACATCAACTCTGGGATGCAAATACATCCAAATGACGAGTAAGAAATAAGATGAAACGCGCGTCCTGGATTTCACTGCTAGCCACTATCCAATATATATATATGATTTTTTGGTTTAATGAGAGAAAAGAGTAATATTTTAGTGTCACTATAGTTAAAGGATTATTTAACAATTTCGTTGGACAGTTGTATTATTAAAATTACAAGTTACGCATAATTTTTAGTTATAAACAGTAAAATATGAACTATGTCTCACTGTAATGGAAGGAAAATCAGTGATCACAGAAAATTTTAGTGAGCTTTGATTTCTTTGATTGAGATAATGAACTGGTCTGATGTTACACCACCATTGAGAACCTACAAGCATTGGATGACCGTTTTGTTATATGGTGGGACTCCTCAGCAATGCAAATCCACGATACCGACCCATGGGACTCGAGTCCAGGGCCACTGGTCTCGTGAACGTACGCCTGACCTCTAGACCACTGATCCGGCCGGCATCCAACAAAACTAGTGGTAATTATCAGTATGGGATTGTGGAGATTATTATGCTTTTGATTGAGATCATGAGCCGATTGATTGATTGACTGATTGAGTTTAGATATTAACACCGTTGTATGCCGACCGAATCAGTGGTCAAACTGTTGAGCGTTCGCGCGCAAGACCGCTGGGTCCTGGGTTCGAATCCCGCGAGCGGGATCGTGGATGCGCACTGCTGAGGAGTCCCACAATAAGACGAAACGACTGTCTAGTGCTTCTTATGGTGGTCTAACATCAATCGGTTCATGATCTCAATCAAAAGAACTAAATGATCTTCACAACCTTATACTGATCCTTGCTTTTGTCATCTTTTCTGTAGGATGAGTGTATTGAATTTTAGAGTGAATCTCATGGAAAATATTGCGGGAAATTCGAAAATTGTTGTGGTGGGACTATAATGTATGGACAAGCCAATCAGATTTGGGATAACAGGTCTTGGATTTTGGCACAAAATTTATTCAACCGTTTGTCTAAATAGCGTTTTGGCATTTTAGCTGATGTCAGTTCGTGATGAAAACTCTAAATCTAATTTCTAATACTAACCACCAACTGTAAATGATGGTCCTTATTCTTTACACTGCTTTATAACTGTCATTCAGCCCTAGTAAATAGGTGGAGATTCTTAAGGTCTCTTTTGTGTCATTCAAACGTCTTCTATAATTTACAGTTTCACCATCGTACCATAGTTTCTCTTCTCAAATATGAATACGGACCAACTTTGTTTTGTATAAATTATGAGAAGGCTATATGAATCGATGGACAATTTCAACATTATTATTATTGCTTCAGCGGTAAACTTAAATAGAATGATCTCACTGACTAATACTGTCACAGCATGGTTGCAAATATTAGGAGATATATGCTCGCTTGTTAAAACTATGTTTTTCAGTTACATTGAAATTGCTATATGATCATTTGACGATACCTACCTACCTATCTACGTATCTCTCTATCTGCATATATATATATATATATTAGATTTATTTCGAAAATAAGGGTAATGATTTACGTGAACTCATACTAAGCTGTAACCGTTGCAGTGAATCTACTCTTTCATTTATCATGTATTTTTGTTAAATCTATACGTTACCTTACAGCTTCCAATAGAGTCAGTTAAGATAACACTTTACAAAATGGTAGATTTTACTTATCAGATTATACTTTACACAATGAAGAACCCATTAATTTTGAAGGAGATTGACAATGGAAACTAATTTTCTTTTCTAGATTTTTTTGTCCAATACTTTCTGATCATTTAAGGATGATAATTTCTATATTCAACTTACATTATTCAATCAAAATTCTATATTTTACAAATTTAAAAACTGTATGAAATCAAGTTATTAATAATCAGTTTTAAAATATGTTAAAAACTGAAGGAGAGGCTTTAATTGATAGATAAACCAATTCGATTTAAGAAAGTAAATCGTCGGCTTTGGCGCGAAATTCATTCATTTGTATGGTTAAATGGGAGACGGTCAAGAAGTCAAGTTGTGGGTTCGCGCGCATATGTTACATGTTGTCGAAGATTTTAGATATCGTTTTTTATCAGCTATTAACAGAATGTTTTCCGTCACACTTCATTTTAATTCATATTTGTGCTTGTTACATAGTTTATATTGCAGTTTATTAGTAGTTTGATGTATTTGTTGCTCACAATCTGGGAAAATGTTTATTCAACCTAATGTGGCCATTTGTAACAATGCGAACTCTTTATCTATTCGGGTAAATAGCATTTTGACATCATAACTGATGTCAATTCATGATGAAAGACGCTAAGTACCTAATACCTGTTCTTAACTCTCAATTATAAATCATCATTCTTATTCTTTAAACTACTTCATAATCCTTATTTAGTTCTAACACAGCTGAACACTCCTCATGGTCACTTTGGCATCGCACAAAGATCTCAACTTCTAACATTCTTTTCTTAAAAATATAGTCTGATTTTAAATGCCTTAAGCTAATAAACAATCTACATTGAAGATAATTAAAGTAACGCGTTTTGAGTACAGAGTTGTTGTTGTTTTTCTTTAAAAACGCTGTTGACCTTGACCTTGGAGTGATTTAAACCAGACGGAATAGTGAATAAAAAAAGAAAGGAATAACACTTATTACAATCATCAATATTTAAAGAAGAAAGCTTATTATTCTTGTTTGATGTTGGTTTGATTTTTTTTATATATTTTGTTGTTGTTGTTGTTGAAATTCATCATAGACAAAACGTAACTATCGGAAGAAATTATTGAGACACCATTTAAACAAACAAATTTGTAATGATTTGATTAATGAGAAGAGAAAACGGTATTATTGTCATTAAAGTAAACAAATCTTTTTCACTATATCCATATGAGATCATTAAGTGATAAAACAGTAGATGAATTTGAAGAAAAAAATGTATGAAAATAAAGAATACAACTGTCACATATAAATATCATATAATATGAAACTATACTGGTACCGACATTTTAGTAGATATCGGTATAGAGTTGTGAAGATGATCAAGTTTTTTTGATTGAGATAATGAACTGGTCTGATGTTACACCACCATTGAAAATCTAGAAGCATTGGATGACCGTTTTGTTATATGGTGGGACTCCTCAGCAATGCAAATCCACGATACCGACCCATGGGACTCGAGTCCAGGGCCACTGGTCTCGTGAACGTACGCCTGACCTCTAGACCACTGATCCGGCCGGCATCCAACAAAACTAGTGGTAATTATCAGTATGGGATTGTGGAGATTATTATGCTTTTGATTGAGATCATGAGCCGATTGATTGATTGACTGATTGAGTTTAGATATTAACACCGTTGTATGCCGACCGAATCAGTGGTCAAACTGTTGAGCGTTCGCGCGCAAGACCGCTGGGTCCTGGGTTCGAATCCCGCGAGTTATAAACAGTAAAAGATGAATTATGTCTCACTGTAATGAAAGGAAAATCAATAATCGCTGGAAATTTTAATGATCTTTGTTTTTATGATTGAGATCAACGGTGTTAATATCTAAACTCGACCAATCCAGGTAATTACGTGACAATCTTCCGTTGTACTGAGGTAGGTACCTCTCTCTACCTGATGTGAATTAGCTCCACTGGTGAGGCCTTCTCACTAGAACCCCAATAATTCCCCCACAAAACTAGTCACTAGTGAGCACATTGTAAGTATCAGTGTGGGGTTGTGGAGAATATTATGTTTTTGATTGAGATTATGATCATGTTTGATGCTAGACCTGGAAGCACCAGACGGCCGTTCCGGAGATGTCTAAAAATCAATACTACGGGAAATCCAAAGATAAATCTTGATGAATTACAAATCTGTGAATAAAATGAATCGCTTATTTACTTTTGTCTTTTATATTTAATGAAGCATGAGCCGCCGACCAATATTCCCCAACTAACTCCATCCTGGACTCACTTTTCATGCTATTCCCAAGTGGTATTCATTCATTTGTACTTCCAGTTCAAAATTCATTTCTACTTTCATTTCTGCTTTCAACAGGATCTTCTTGGCCTTCTACTGCCAGCTATTTAACTTTTGATTGATGTCATATACTACTGATGTCTCTCGACATTAGTAGCATACACCCCACTACTATGATGTACGCAAATGATGTAACTCAAAGCTGATAATATTGCTGTGTATATGATAAATACGTTTATGTTATTTTTGACTACAATAACACATTCCTTTTTAAAATCTCTTTATTCTTGATTGTAAAATTCCAGGTCCAGGTGTTTACTTCGGTTACATAAGAACAGAACAATTAAGTATGCCTCCATTTACAAAACTTTCAACAAATGATCAACCAATTGATGTAAAATCATTTCCAAATGAAGTTGTTTCCCTTCTACCTACTGCCACTGATAATACAGATGATCCGAATCGACCGAAAGATATATTCTCTGGTCGTGGTGTTAATTTAACGCGAAATACAAAACTTATCCCGTATCCAATTATTCATATGCTTGAACGACCTGGTGTACCACTAGGCATTTGTTTGACAGAATTTCATCTTATCATTATCTATGTGGATCGCATTAAAGCTGTGAATACTTTAGATGGTCGAGCAGTTTATTCAATGCCGTTAAATAATATCATTGGCTGTGAACGGGCTTTAGGTATATCGCGTGACTCATTATCTAATCATATTTGGATATTCAGCAATAATCATTTGGCTCGATTAAATATGAAGAATGAATTATGTAGAATATGGCAAATCTATTTGGATCGTCTACAGTTTGATGAAGCGCGCCAATTTTGTCAGGTATGTTACCTCATGAAATAATTTAACTTATTGACGCTTATCGCCCCTCGTGCAGCATAGGCCACTGCCCACTATTCCCCAACTAGCTCTATCTTGGGCTCACCTTTCATGTTATTCCCAAGTGGTATTCATTCGTTTGTTATCTGCCTCCAATATTCGGCGCGATATGTTCTTTGTCTGCCTCTCTTCCTCTCACCTCCATGATTCTGAGTTAGAGATTGCCTCGTGATGCAGTCTGTGTTTTCTGAAATGTATATCCTATCCACCTCCAGTGTGTTCTCCTAATTTCCTCTTCAGATGTAAGTTGGTTTGTTCTTTACTACAGTAGGTTGTCGTTGATAGTGTCCGGCCAACGGATTCGGAATATCTTACGTAAACCATTGTTTATAAGTACCTGTACGTTTTTGATGATGGTTGTAATAGTTCTTCAAGTTTCAACTCTGTAGAATGGAACTAACTTTTTTGACGTTTGTATTGAAACTCCTGACTTTGATGTAGGCTGACAGTTAATTGTAGGAATGCTGCTCTTTTCTCACCAATCCGCACCTTCTAATTTCTATCCGATTCTACTTGTTTATCTCTGATATTTTCCAAGTAAACGGGACTTTCCACCTCTTCTAATGCTTCTCCATCATGTGTGATTAAGTTGGTGTTCGTTATGTTGTATTGTAGGATCTTGATTTCCACCTTGTGTATATTGCGGCCTATTGATGCAGGAATTTCGCTACACTGACAAGTTTTACCTCCATTTGTTGCTGTGTATGTGACATAAGAACTAGGCCATTTGTGAAGTCTAAATCGTCTAGTTGCATCCAATCTATCCATTGTGTTCTGTGCTTCCCCTCAGATGTTGGGGTTTTCATAATCCAGTCGACAGCCAGAAGAATGAGAAAGGGTGAGAGTAAGAAGCCTTGTTTGACATCCATCCTCAATCGCAATGCGTCTGTCACCTGTCTTACATTCACCACGTTGCGGTGTAGTCAGTTGTACGAATTCCGTGTGATGTTGACGATTTTCTCAGGCAAACCATAGTGTCGAAGTTTCCATCAAATCCTACGATCCACATTACGAATGCTTTTTCACAATCATGGAAATTTATGTATAGTGAAGAGTTCCATCCACTTGATTGTTCAAATATGATCCGTTGTGCCTCAATTTGATTTGCGCACGACTGATCCTTACGGAATCCAGACTGTCAACTTCGAAGTTGTGCATCTGCTGAATCTTTCATCCAGTTCAGCAACACTCTGTTGAGGATGTTTCTTGATACTGATGTTAGTGTGATGCCTCTGTAGTTTTCACATTTGCTCAGATATCTAATCTTTGGTATGTTGGTGAGATATCTTTCTTTTCAGTCGACTGGCACTTTTTCCTCCTCCTAAATCGTTCTGGATAGAGTGTAAATAAATTGCCAAATCTTTCTCGATTCTAGTTCTTTTCTCCCAGTCTATGTGATGTTGTCCATTCCGACTTTGTCGTTGACGTCTTCCATCAGATCCTTTCCTGGATACTTTTTTTATGACCGAGTGCAGTCTCGTAATGAAACGATTTTCATTGCTATCATTGGTGGGAAGATAGCATTGGATAACATTAATTGTGATTCCGTTCTTCTTTGTTTTGAAGGATGACTTGATGATCCTGAGTCCATGAGATCCCCATGCTATAAGCGTTTTTCCTGCTTCCTTAGACAGAATCAGTGCAACTCCTTATGTGTGAAAGGCAATTTCTTCTTCATGACCAGATCACACTGGACCCTCTCTCGAATCTAATCTCTGTCCAACTTGTATCCAATGTGCTTCACTTATTCCAAGAACCACAAAGTTGCTTTTCATCACTTCCACAGCTATTTGATTGATCTTCCACATTGTAGGCGCATTTTATGTACCTATATTCATTGTTGCTCTGGTTGTTAGAATAGGCATAGGCATCGTGACATCCGAAGAATATTGGATCTCACTATGAGGCATCATAATTTTTCAAAATGAAAATCCATTAACTCCCAGGAGAGCGTTTGAATGATTTAAATGATTCTTACTGGTTACTTTTTTTGGCAGTGTTGTTTCCTACGGGATGAGGTTGCTAACCACACACCCAATCCTCGTCACCTTTACGGGCGTCAGACCGACTGTAGCCTTAGGAAGTCTACAGGACAAGTGTACAGGACGAATATATCCAAGTAAAATCATTGCATATCAAAGCGGAAAATATGTAACAGTTATATCGATGACATGTTGTAACTTAGTTTGGGTCGGAGTAGTAGTGAATTGATTGCGTAATTCACGAATGTACAATATTTAGTAATATTAACTTCGATGTATCACGTTAATTCATCATTATATTGATTATTTAAATCTTCTCATACGAGCATATTACCTCGATATTTCCTCAAATCACAAAAACTATAAGCAGAGATGGATGGTAGCTAGAAGTAGAGTCCACGACATGCGTTTCGTCCTATCTGGAATTCGTCAGCTGCATGTACCTGCATGCCAGATTTGATGTTCACTCCGAGACTCGGACCCAGTACTGCTGGCTTCAAACACTAACGCGTTATCCACTTAGCTACTGAGTCCATATAATCATTAGCTTTTACAGTGCGGGGAAGTTTGATTCATTTTTATTTTGGTTATTTGAGTTTTTCATTAGTGCTTAGGACTGAAATTGATCAGTCAGTTTGAAACGAACGATACTGGGTTTGAATCTCGAGGTGAATTTCAACTCTGGGATACAAGTACATACGGTATATCTAGAACATAAAAGATATGTCAGTATAGAAGAAAGTCTTACTCAAAGAAGTCAAAAGTCGGTCTCAGATATTGTATCCCATTTATATACGATGCTTATAGGCATAATCGTTTGTAGTGTAGTCGGAGATATTTATGTCTGCTGTTTTCTAAAGTTGAAATTCCTTTAATATACTCGGAATCACGGTCATTTTTGATAATTATTTATGAAATCTATTTAATTACGTCAGTTACTCCTAATCAAGTATAGGCCGTCGACCAACATTCTCAAACCCACTTATTCTATCCTGGCCCTTCCTTCCTAGTTCTATCCAATTGTTGTTCATCCTTCTCATGTCTGTCTCCATTTCTTGGCGTAATCTGTTGTTTGGTCTTCCTCTTTTCCTTTGGCCTTGAGGATTCCATGTGACGGCCTACCTTGTGACAGAGTTAGGTGCTTTCCTCAATATGTGTCCTATGCACTTCCAACATTTATTCCTCCATTGGGATCTGGTTTAATCTCTCACACAGTAGGTTGTTGCTGAAAGTGTCTGACCAACGGATCCGAAGTATTCTGCGTAGACAACCGTTAATAAACACGTGTATTTTCTGGATGATGACTTTCGTAGTTCTCCAAGTTTCCGCCTCATACAGTGGAACTGTCTTGATATTTTTAATGAAAATTCTGATTTTGGTGTTGGTTGACAGGTGTTTTGAGTTCCGAATGTCCTTCAGTTATAAATAGTCTGCCCTTGCTTTGTTGATTCGCGCATTCACATCTGTATTAGATCCACCGTGCTTATCAATGATGCTACCTAGATAGGTAAATGTTTTTACATGTGCCAAAGCTTCTCTATCAAGTGTGTTCCATTTGGTGTATACTGTATTGTATCGAAGAATCTTGCTTTTCCCTTTGTGTATGTTGATACATACTATTTATTGAACTTCATAGGGGTTATATCTTGCTTTCATATATCTGAAAATGAAATATAACTAAGTTGCATTGTTTACTACTTTCAACAGTAATTGATAGAATTTATATGAAATGAATTCTGAAATCTAAACAATATTGATGTTATAAGCAAAGATGGATAGTGGCTAGCAGTGGAATCCAGGACGCGCGTTTCGTCCTGTTTGGGATTCGTCAGCTGGGACTTGAACTCAGTACCGTTCGCTTCAAACGCCATCGAGTTATCCACTTAGCTACTGAGTGAACATCAACTCTGAGATGCAGGTACATCCAGCTGACGATTCCCAAACAGGACGAAACGCGCGTCCTGGATTCCACTGCTAGCCACTATCCATCTTTGCTTATAATGCTTGTAAATTAAGGCAATATCGAGGCATTCGCACAGTATGCACATATGCCAATAAGAGACTGATCAATTTCAGTGGTAAACATCAATGGGAAGATTCAAGTAAAACAATATCAAGTGAATATTGATTTTGTTCATATTTATTGTGACAGACAAAATAAGTTACTTAGTCTCAGTATGAATTTTATTGAATTTTTAACTATGTACTTTGATATGACTGGATATAACTTATAGCGTGTTTTGACTTGTTTAACACGTTACTCTACATTTAGTTAAGACCAGAGATTTATAAAATTACTTACTGTAGTTTTATAAACGTATATATGACTACAGTAATGTTAAGACTGATGTAGATGCATTAAATGTTTTCTTCATAATCAGCAAGTATTTAGACCAGTACTTAATCAACTGATATCCAAGTTTTCAGTTATGATTCTGTAGTAGGCGTCGAGTCGCGGTTGACTGCAATCACCATTGCACGAAGACCACGGGTCAGTTACTGGGTTAGATCCCTCCGTAGGCCAAATATCAGAAGGCAATTGAAGGTTGTAGTAAGATGTATTTGTTGGGGATCTCGTAGTATCGAAATAATACCGAAATCTTGTCAAAATTTACAAGCCGGACTACTAGGCCTACATGAGTTCGTGAAAGGGTACAGACAAAGGAAGAACGTGTGTTTTTAATACACTTTAACAAACAGGTACAGTAAGACAATCACTAGTACAATTGGTTATAATAATAATTGTTTGCATTAAATCAATCGCGTTCTGTTCATAAAAGTAGGTCACTACAATTCTTTGCAGTGTATTCTTAACCTCTGTAATCGAAAACGTCAAGAATATGTAAAAAGCTTATTGAAGGTATTGATCACTGTAATCTTCGTACGACTAAAATTTAGTAATTGTAGGCCATCAGATTTGAATAAGTGGTTGATTGGTGCCGTGTTTATCGACAAAATCCGAAGACGTTTGTTTGATCTTGC